GATTGCTCTAGATCATATAAATCTCCTATTAACATATTTATTTTCTTCTGCTGTTCTCTTTTTTTCCCGCTCCTATCACAATCAGAATCCCTTTGATATATGCCTTATTGTGCTTCCCACACCATGGCAATTGAGACTCCTTCAGTCTCATTTGTTTTAAAATATTGTTCGATTTCTTTTTTTATTCTCAATTCCGTCTCATGATCCTGAAAGAATGGACCGATATTGATATAACATATATGTTCACTTTAATCAGGGACTCCAAGAGTTTATGTTCTTGCATTATATAATCCAATCTGGAATACATTGTATGTGCAGGGGAATACAACATATAGTCTCTTTCTCTAGGGTGTTTAATTCTCAGAGTCCACAAGCTGACATTGATATAACACCCTGTTGATAGATTTCATATGTTTATCTCCCCCTTGCTGCACCTGTGACGATGTATCCATCTAGGGGTCCATGTAAAAGTTAAAGTCTCCTGCCATAATTAGTTTGCCCTTCTTAAAATCCAACAGGCTCCTTCGTGTAATCTTCAGAGTAGCCATTGGATTTATATTAGGACAATAGATATTTCCTTATGTACATTCTATTTCCAGTAATCTCCCCCTCAAAAACAAAAATCGACCTTCAGGATCCACCATCCTATCTTCTATAGTAAATCTTAAATTCTTAGCTATCCCATTTGCTACCCCTTTAGTACGTTTAGACGGTGAATCTGCATAATGCCAGGTAGGAAAATATTTAGAGTATAACTTAACATTTGTTTCCTGAGATAAATGAGTCTCTTGTGAAAACTACATCAATAGATACTCGTTGTAATTCTTTAAGGATCTTAGGTCTCTTCACCAGGGAGTTCATTTCTTTTACATCATAGGTCATAAAGTTTACCTCCTCTATATCCTATATTTTCTTTTTTCTCCTTCTTTCACCCTGAGGGAAGTACACTTATCAATAGGAGCACCGAAATGTCTCCACGATATTTCTTATTCCCCAGCCCTCCCCTCCTCCCACCCATACCCTTCCTCCCTCCCTCTCCCGCCCTCATCCCCAACCACCCCTAACAACCCCTTGGCCCTTATTTTGCCTAGACTTGTTTGTGGTCCTAATCCCCCCATCAATTCCAACCTGGGGCGAAACTCTGACCATATACGTCCAACCAAACCCGTGACCCCACTCTCGGGGTCGCGAGTCTAGTTGCATGAATGACCTCCCGTTTCCCGCCACTCCTCTAGAATTCTCAACATGCCCAGACGGAAGAAGAAGAGAGAATAAAAAAAAAAGAAAAAAAAAACAAAAGGAGGATAGAAAATCTCTCATAACCCCCCAAACCCCCCCCCCCTTGTAAATCTTCTCCCCTACTTATTTTCTCTCTGATGTGCTCTCTTTTTGGGGATTATTTACCATCCCTCCTCTTCTATTCCTATATTTTCCTTTACCCCTTCTTCCCATCCTGGAATATCTATTTTCTGTAGTTCAGGGCTCTCACAAAAGTCCCATAGTTCGTCTGGGAACCTCAGTCTTGCCGAGCAACCATCTTTCAATCCAATTAAGCATGCTGGGAACCCCAAGCTGTATCAGGTAAGTCTGCTTTTTAACAGAACAAGATGTCCTGCAGATGTAGCAGTTAAAGGGTCGAGACAAACCATTTAACACCAACAGGGGTCCTTACAATAAACCGCTTTTATTTATGCAAAACCTTTATCCCAAAAGAACAAAATTGTCGCTGTAATTTCTTATAAAGCATTATCTGGAGTTTGGCTTCAATGTGTTAGTGTATCTACTGTAAATCTGCTAGTGCATCTAACACCCCTCTCCCCCCAGACTGACAATGCTGCTGTCCAAAAGGTGTCTCAGAGTATCTACATGCGGGATGAAGAAACAAAAAGACAGGAGGTGTGTTACTGGCCTGATTACCAGCAGTACTTTCCTCACTCTGTGACAGTGTAAGCGAAGTGCAGCCGATAACCGGCAACTGCATTTACCGGTGATCTGCTGTCATTGGACACAGCTGGTCACGTGGTAAAAGGCCGCTCTGATTGGCCTTTTACCACAACACGTGATCAGCTGTGTTTGTAGGACACAGCGATCATGGAGATAGCCCGGTGCGCGCCCCCAGGGGGCACACAGGAGGGCGCCATATGAACTGTACAACCACGCTGTAGCCGTCATTTGGCTATAGCGCAGTTGGCAAGTGGTTACAATGGTGGTACAGTACAACTGTAAATAAACTATTTTTACTTTAACAGTTACCTTAAAATGGTAGTACAGTACCACAACTGGCATATAGTGGAAGAGAGTTACTAACTGGAGGAGGGAGGGTAGGTGGGAGATGGTGGAGCTGAAGGATTATCAGCAATAGGAGATGGAGGGCAAGATGGAATTTGGATCACACCTGATGTTGCTGGAGCTTAAGGATCATCAGCAATAGGAGATGGAGGGCAAAACGGAATTTCATGAACACCTGATGTTGATGACACAGGCTTTTTGATGGATTCAATTCTGTCGACCCTCTGGAAAAAATGATCCAGTGATGTCCGAGTACTATCTCTTTTTTCTCTTCATAGATGACTCTGTAGCACTGGATGGCATTCTGAACGGCTGCTGCAACCTTTTTGTATCGTTCTACGTTGGGGTCCTGTGCCTCAAAAACTATCAGTGCCTCTTCATGTAAAGAAAATCCCCTTGCCATTTCTGGTGTTGTGAATCTCTTTGGTTCTTCAGTTACATCTTCCTCTTGGCTCTCTTCCTCTTTTCGCTGGGCCTCAAATTCCATCAGGTCTTCATTAGTAAGCTCCTCATGTTGCACAGCAAGGAGTTCAATGAAGTCGTCCTCTTGCAGATCTAGGTCCAGCTTCACGCTAAGGGTCACTAAGTTGTTGAAGACCTGTTTGGACTCCTTACCCACCTTCTCAAGCCCATGAACTTCATTAACAAACTGTGGGCAAAGGTTCTTCCAAACCCCATTCATGGTGACAGCTGAAACCTCATGCCAAGCAAAGAGGATGTTTTTTTATGGCCTTGTAGATGTTATAGTCCTTCCAAAATTGGATGGGTGTTCTTTTTTTCATCAATAGGCTTCAATGCCTGATGAAGTGTGATGTAAATGATATTTCTTGAAAGTCGCAATAACTCCTTGGTTCATAGGTCGGATGAGCGCCGTAGTATTCGGTGGCAGATGCACTACTTTGACGTTGGGATGAAAGTCATCCATGATTTGGGGGTAACCTGGTGCATTGCGAAGCAGCAAAAAAAAAATGTTTCTCTATCTCTGGGATAAAGTAGTGGAAAAACTAGTCCTGGAAAATTGCCTGTATAACCCTGGCTCTGGAGTTACTCTTCCACATAACAGGTAGAGAGCCCTTGGTTATGTTTTTGAGGGCTGTTGGTTTCTCTGAATGGTAAACTAAAAGAGGCTTTAGTTTCATATCACCAGAAGCTTTGCCACCAAACAGAGTAAGTCTGTCCTTTGCTGCTTTGAAGCCTGGCATCACCTTTATCTCTTTACTGATGTAACTTCATTCTGGCATCCTCTGTCAGTACAGTCCTGTCTCATCGACCTTAAAAACCTGTTGGGGTAAATAAGCACCTTTCGTCAATAATTTTTCTAAGTGCTGCTGGAAACTCTTGGGCAGCTATGGTATCTGCACTGGCAGCCTCACAACTTTTACGTTGTGAAGGTTGGCTCTAGCCTTGATTCTGTTAAACCATCCATGGCTGGCAGTAAAAAACGCACACCGTTCACCCAGTTTCTTCTTCAGGTCTTCAAACAGGCCTTTAGCTTTTTCTTGCATAAGCATTAAGCGGAGTGGGATTTGATGCCGATCCTGCATCCACACACTGAGAAGTTTCTCCATTTTCTCTATCACTTTACCACGCTTTTTGGATATTCTTGTTGACCTCATAGGCACAACAGACTTCACATGTTCCATGATCTTGGCCTTGTTCTTTAGAACTGTGCCAATGATTGAATGATTCATGTTATAAGAACGAGCAATGTCAACCATCTTTTTGCCAGTTTCTCAATTATTTTCACTTTTGTTTCCATGGTTATTGCTTTGTGCTTCAACCCTCCACATCACCACTGCTTTTCCTCTTGCTTCCGGACATCCTGGGCACTGTACAGTGCACTATCGAGTCAGGGACTTCCTATATATATATATATATATATATATATATATATATATATATATATATATATAGATATATATATATATATATAAAATCTCCTCACACACACACCATAGTTGGGGACTCCATAACTTTCCTACAGACTAAATAATACACTAATTTGGGTTATTTTCACCAAAGAAATGTAGCAGTATACATTTTGGCCTAAATTTATAAACAACATTTATTTGCAAAATTTTTATAACAGAAACAAAGAAAAACTTGTTTTTATTTTCAAAATTTACGGTCTTTTTTTGTTTATCAAAAAATAAAAACTCAGTGGTGATTAAATACCGCCAAAAGAAAGCTCTATTTGTGTGTGAAAAATGATGAAAATTTAGTTTGGGTACAGTGTTGCATTACCACACAATTGTCATTCAAACTGTGAGAGCGCTGAAAGCTGAAAATTGGCCTGGACAGGAGGGGGGGGTAAAAGTGTCTGGTATTGAAGTGGTTAAAAGAGGAAAACTACTGCAGCCATAACATCTAATGATTAGTAAAGTACCATATATTGGTTTTGGTTTTATACCACTTTAAGATTGGATGAAAGTTCTTACAGTAAGATTTTTCACATCTTTTTTTTCCTACTTCATCACTTTGGAGAATTATAACTGGACTTTTTAAAAAAAATATTTATTATATACTGTAAAAGTGTTGGTGACATTGCTATTTATATGGTTTATATATGTATTTCTTACCACTTTTATTAATTTGCACAGGTTTATCAGTAGGTTAACACTGTTTTGTAAGTTGTTCAAATTTGTGAAAATATGCTACTAAAGACTGGTGACCGAAAGAGAACGGGAGCCATATATAAGACCCATACTTACCACTTAGTATTTGCTCCGGCTGAGCTGGCTGTGGCACAGGTCTGGGCTCTGTAGTAGCAGGAACAAAAGCAGGCCCTACTAGAGTTTTTTGAGGATGTGATTCACTTGCAGATACATGGGGTGGGTCTGTAAATGGAAAATTTAAATCAACCTTCAGTATTACACATTAAGAAGGACATCCTTACTTCACTGCACATTTAAATTTGAAAGTCAGACCTACAGTTGTCAAAAGAAAGCCCAATTTTGGAAATATATGACAGATTCAATTTATGTTACATAAATGTTCAAGGAACACAACCTTAACAGTATGCAAGGTACATAAATTATCACTTAAAAGTATAAGTTCTCCTTTTGTAATATGTTACACCCATATTCAGGGTGTAACATGTTACTGTAGCACTGGCCCCCGCAGCCCCCCGGATCCCCTGTTGTGACAGCAAGTGGGGGATGTTCTCAGAGTTCTGTGACTGTGAAACTACAAGTATCAATGGCCTTTGCGGCTCTTGGCTTTTAGTTCTTAATGAACTACCATGGCGCTATGGTAGTTCATGGATTCTTGCTGTCAGTATGAAACTACTTGCCTGTACTATGTATGGGCAGCCAGCCTAAACTTACAGTCTGTAGGAGTCCTGCATGGCAGGGTGATCGCGGGTGCAATGCTTTCCAGGCTCCCACAAAAACAAATAGTAAATGCACTTTTTTACCTGCAAAAAGAAAAAAGTTGCATAGCAAAAAAGTGCATTTATTTATTTTTTAAAGTGAACTTATCCTTTAATGGCAGATAAAATTAAAGATATCCACGAAAATGTTCATCTTTGTTGAACACTAAATAAAAATGTTATCAATACACTTGTCCATTAGTACATAGGCAATTACTTTCTAAAATAGATCTGCTACTGTTCAAAATGCAAATGATTGCAAGTGTTGCTGTTTTACCTATGATCGTTTTGTTAAAGAATATGAATTTAATTGTTTTAGAATGTTTGTTAAATCAACCCATTATCATGCAGTCATGCCAGCTAAGAGGAAAGTAACAGCAATTTCATATAAAATAATGTGGCTCTAAAAAACTGCTCAAGAATAAGTTAAGCACCATCTACATCTAAAAGCTGGCCAGATAAGAAATTGCTGGGCAATCAAACAAAGCTATGGTTTTGATTCAAAGACAAACACAAAAAACCCACTTAGACCACTTTTTGGGTGGTCAGTCATCTTCAGCATGTCATAGCAACGCAGGTCTAAGCCAGGGGAAAAAAAGCTCAGCAAACAGTATGCAAATGGCAGTTTTGTCTATTCTGTGTAAGATAAGAGGACAAAATAATACCTGGAGTGGCATCAAATAGGTTCTGAGGATGTCGAGTAATGGATTGTATATTAGCTGCTTTTCCTTTGGAAGAAAAATGCAAAGGGGTATTGATATAATTTTTTTATATATAGTTTCCATATATATATCTATCTATATATATATATATATATATATATACATATATATACATATATATACACACATACACTGCAGAACCTTTTCAATTGACATGCACTGTTAGGACTCGGATGTTGTTGAGAAGCTAGCTGGCAGACGTTATACCCACTTACCCTGTATTACTGTCTGTTTGAATAGTTCTTCTCTTAGCCGAGGCAGGAAACAGTCTATTCTCTCCCAGGTAATCTCCCAAAGGTCTGAGTATCCTGTCCGAGAGTCTGCACTGTGGAATATTCCAGCAGTGTCCATAACTAGCAGCATATTTTTCAAGGATTCGGGTATGGCCTCCATCTAAATGAAAGAAATTAAGAAAAAAAAAGTTTGCACACAATCACAACAAAAACTACTGTAGAGGCTCCACACATAGAGTCTAAGTAAAAGAGCAAAATAATAGCCTCAACACAGCAAAATAGCCTGCTATTCACTCAACACTGAGTCTTCAAAGGGGGACAGTTGAACTGCTGCAGCCTTGGTCTTTACAGATCTGCATGGAATCCCCAGATATACCAGCTTGATCTGAATAGAGAAAGGCTGTGTGTGGGTACCTGGAACACAGATGGGTTGTGACTTCAGGCAGACATACAAAACACCAACATACTTTACCAGGCCAACTAAAGAGTCTTCCAAGATTTCCAACATCTGGCCTGAATCTATTAGTAACTGTTGATTGTAGAAAATAATCTTCCAAATGAAAGTGATATTAAACCCAATGCCAAAAATTTAATATACTACAGCTTAACAATCATTAAAATGTGGTGACTGCACTTGTTTTCTTTTTTAGCCTTTTTAACTCTGTTTTCACCTGCTGATCTGGCCAGTAATGCACCTCCTGTGTTAGAATGCCTACACTCTGGATAAAGGAGCACAGAGACACCTCTGGACTGCAGAATTATCAGTCTGGGGGGGTTAGATATACTAGAAGATTTGGATATGCTACGTAACTTGAAACCAACCTCCAGCTAACACTTTATAGGCAGTTACAGCAACAGTTTTGATCCTTTTGCAATAAAAGGTATAGATAAGAGATGGTCATTGTAAGCACCCTTGTCAGTGTCAAATAGTTTGTCTCAACCCTCTACCTGTTACATCTGCAGAACAGCTAGTAACAAAAATAACAGACTTATTGACTGGATCATAAGGTGAAAATAAAGGAAATAAAACCTAAAAAAAGGAAACAAATGCAGCCGTCAAATCTAAGATATGGTAAGCTGCAAAATAATAAAATGTTTGCTTTTGGTTTAATCCCGCTTGAAGCAAAAATATCAGAAAAAATAGCGGAAGAGAAAGAACATTCATTCCAACATCACGAAGCAAAACTGAGCAGGACTGCTATGGGAGGGCTTATAGCTTCTAGGGTTCTGGTGTTTAGTTTTATGTTTCTACTGTCCTTTTCTCCTGTATGGGGCAGCACTTACTATCAAGCAGTGTCCCTCAATGGAAGATACAGAAAAACACTTTACATGAAAGACTAAAGTAAAAGACTAAGTGTCTGAACAAGCAGACCATTGGGGAGAATAATACAAAGTTGAATTTTAAGGAGTTCTAGAAACTTTGGTCCTGAATGCATAAAATACTGCCATTTTCTAGCTTCCTACTTTAGTTCATTATTCACAGTAGGTCCATTCAAGCATTCTTCTATGCTCTACACCACATGGGTAAACAAGATCTGGATAACTGGTATTGGCAGAGAAAACCAATTTGCTCAGGTCTCTTAAAAAAAGTGACAGCAGAAAAAGACCAAGTGGTCCAACAAGCCTTCCCCAATTTGTGCAGTTTAAATTCACATACTGTTGACTGACTCACTATGTTCTTGATCTTTGCATATTGAAAAATACTGCCCTCCTCAATCTTTCACATATTTAAAGCTCCATTCTAGGCTAAAACCAATTTTTGTCTCATCCCTCCCACCCTCTTCTAACCCACCCTACTATGCCAGATATACTTACCCAAGTCTCCCATCCCCCCTTCTTCAGGTCCCTTGAGGTCAACAGTTGCGGGTGGGGGGACCCGCAAATCCAGCGTTGTGATACCCTCTGAGATTGCCGGTTACTTGTTTTGACATCATCACCCAACAGGACCTCGCCGCTGCTGGATATCCAGTAGGAAGTGTCTTTGTCATGCAGGCACTGACACGAACACCTGAAGGAGGATTCTTCCAAGAAGTAAACAAAAAAGACTCTAGGCTGTGGCATCACATGACCACAGCTTACAGTCTCAAGACCAGCTTCTGTCGAATGGGCACGCTGGAAAACCAGCATTTGATCAGAGTTGGGGGTGGGGTTGAATTCCCCCACCAGAATACAATGTCTCAGCAGGAGAGATCGCTGCATCAACACCGCTTGTGAGCAGCGAGAAAAATATTTAACATAATTTTCTTCAAAGCTGAACTCTAGGTATAATTTGTATTGCAGAGTTACATTGGATTGGCTTGGGTGAATGTAAGTATGCCTATCATTGATCTGAGAAATTGCTGCTGACGACAACCACTGTAGTAGTAGGCACTACTTCAGTGATCGCTACTATCTTCTGGATCCTGTGTCCGGTGGCTGCCTTTCTGCATAGTTACTACAGGGGTCACTCACTCAGCGTAGTCATCATTCACAGTACACCTTTTATTTTTTTTTTTTAATGAATATGCAAAGTTCTCTGATTGGACATGGAGGAGTGGTGACTTCATGCTCTTCACCTTCTCCAATCAGAGAACTCCTTGTAGGTCAGCCACTAAGCACAAAATTTAGTTGCAATGATCTACTTTACCACTTTCTTTTAATTTGCTTTCCCCACCCTATGAAGCATATACTACTATATTAATCTTTTATACTCACTGGGAGAAAAATCAAATAGTTCAACACACCTTGTATCGTACATTGAGATAGGAATGATTTTGAACTTCCTACTCTTTTTGTTATAGAATGAAATGTAATATATGCACCAAAGGAAATGCAGAATATGTGACAAACAGGTACCATTAACTTACCAGCAAGTCACTGGAGCCAGCATGCATGTACTTATCCATAAATTCTAGTATTGTCATCCACAGAGCAGCAAAGGTGGGAAGAGACAGTAAAGGAGACAAATGCTGTAGGAAGACCTAAATTGAAAGAAACATTTACGGTTTAGGTTGAACAATGCCCCTTAGCAAATTACCAGACATTACAGGAGATAAGACATTGTGTACTGCAATCATCAGCCACCAAGTCATCCTGCTATAACTAGAGGTAAACAGTTGTGACCAAATCAAACAATGAGCACATGGCAGCCACATTCTCCTTTACTACCTGCCATTCTCCCTCCTGAAAAATATCAACACCCTTGTTAGACACTGTGATAAACCAACCTCTTTCTCCATTGGAAGACTACCTGGAGAGCATGCCCAGTTAAACTTTTCTATGCAACATATATTTTCCCTTAGGGCTCATTTACACATGTCATTATCCTGTGTTTAAACCAGGTTGAAAAAGTGTTTTTAAAGCCTCCTAACCACCTATTCAGTGCCTTCCTTGAGCATCACACAATGGGCACCAAGTAGTGCATGACGCACAGGTGTGGTAGCATTGTGTTAAAATGTAAGCAGCATGTCAATTTCATGAGGCATTCCCACTCATCAGCTGTCTCCGTTAATTTCAATGGCAGTGTGCCATAACCGCCTTGTAACCACACCTACAGCATTTACAGTGCATTAGTGAAACATTTATAAAGTGCTCGCTGGGTGCTGGGGTAAAGGCAGTAGAGGTTCCCGTGTCCCAGAATGCACTGGGAATAGAATAGAAAACTAGTACAAAAAGCTGTTCCAGCCACTACCTGTTTGTACAGAGCAGCCATGTGGAAACACCATTTGCTTCTGTGCTCAGGCAAAAGCATAAAGTCAGTTGGCAATACTGACAGTGCCAGGCCGGAGCACAGGCATCGGAAATTATAGCCAGTGACAAAGCTATTTGTGTCAGTGCAAGCAAGTTACCTCGTCAGCAAATGTCAGTGCAAGCAACTATGCCAGCAAGTTTGGGTGTTAGCAAACGACCATGACAATCTTTCCATGATCATATAGAGCTCAATTCAAATTTTTTTGATACCATCACTGAAAAAGCATCCTATTGTTATCCATATTACCCTGGTGCTATTACTGCATACTTCCTACAAAATATGCTTAATAAAAATGAATGGATTAGGGCCCCTTCAAACCATTGTGTTGTATTACCCCACACATTATGTTGGTTGCATTGACATTTATTTTAAATGGCTTCCAATGAATCTCTGCATTGCAGCTCACCACAATGCACAATAACACACTGCCATCTATTGTGATGTGCAGCACCAGAAAAAAAGTGCAGGTATGTTTGTTCATCGGCTTTGGTATGTTGGCAACCCATTCAAATCGATGTGCTGTCCCAAAATAATGCACATGCATTAACGCAGCACACCTCAGTAGACAGGTGTGATGCTAGTTTGAGACCTCATTCACACCATGTACAGAGGAGTGTATTTTTGTCTCTGTAAGGGTACAAAGAAAACAATTGTACATGTACCCTGTTCAAACAACTATGTTGGTGTCATATTGCAAGTGGTGTGAACTAGACCAAATTATTCTATGCAAGTCAAATCTGAGCGTTTTTTTAGACTGGTAATAATTTACAGATGGTGTGATCAAGGCCTAAGTCCTGAAAAACACATCACAGAAATAATTTTCCCTTAAATTCTTGTTCACCTTTGAAAGCAATGTAGATGCTCTCATTCTCGTCTCCTCCATACCTCCCACATCAGCTGGGCTTATGTTCTCCAAGAGCTTTGTTAACAGTGGAAATAGCACCTGCCAAATTGGAAATCATACCAGTTATTTAACCACAAAACATCATTCAGTATGAACAGCAATAAATCAAGCCATACAGATATAGAACAACACAGTGAAACCCCCCCCCCCCCCCCAAAAAAAACAAAGGTTAACGATTTGTTGTTTTAATTACCCATTTTTTTCCATTGACATTTGTGACATTAGGGGTGATTTTCCTTCACTTACTGTCCTAAAGATACAATAGAAAATGATAGCAATTCATCTTAAATAGTTGTTCCTGGAACAGGTGCCCCAGTTGAAAAATGTACCCTCACCTCGTTTCAGTGATTACTTTAAAATTTGGTTACTTTTAAAGTTTGGATTTTGCATCATTTTTTTAAATCTAATTGAATGTGGTCAAAACCTGACACTTGTACCTCTTTCAAACTTTGAAAGCTTCTAATCCTTCCCTACACTATCCAAAAAAACAAAAATTATGTGGGCATACATACAGATCAAGAAAAACAAAGTTTATTCTACAGAGTAGATAAGTGAGGCCCCATGTATGTATGTCTTCTATGACCTGTAGCGTCATAGCGTAAGCGCTTACACACACACACACACGGATTTGCATTTCCAGGTAGGAAAAATAAAAAATTCCTGTATATATCCCGTCATTTGTAACACTAAAATTTTCCCGTAATGGGATTTTTTTTTTTTTTTTTTAGCAAAGACATGTAGCAGAATACATTTTGGCCTAAATGTATGAATTACTTACTGGATATTATAGCAGAAAGTTAAAAAATCAAAATTGTCCTTTTTTTGTTTATAACACAAAAAATAAAAACCGCAGAGGTGATCAAATACCACTGAAAGAAAGCTCTATTTGTGGAGAAAAAAAGGACATAAATTTTCATTTATGTACAGCGTTGCATAATTGCGCAATTGTCAGTCAAATTAACTCAGTACCGTATTGCAAAAAATGGCCTGGTCAGGAAGGGGGTTAAATTGTTTGGAGGGCAAGTGGTTAATGGTATTCCAAAAGCCAACAATGCCAGAAAAAAAATTAATTTACTAGAAAGCTACTAAAGTTAAAAAAAAAAAAAAAAAAAAAAAATGAATGCAGCATAAAAAAATAAAGACATTACAAAAAAGGCCTTGGTGAAATACATTATTCCCACCACTGTCTAATCTTTATCATATCATTTTTCTTTATTTTAAATACTAATGGTAAAATTTTCATGGACTGAAGATTAACTAGAAGATTTCAGAGCAAGAATTACAGAAATATATAAGGATTAGTGTTCTCACCTTATTAAAGCAGGCTTCCCATTCAAGTGCATCCAGTGTCTGGAGATCATGGACTAAAAGTGCTCTCTGTAGGTAAGTAAGAGCCTGCATCCTAACCTGACGTCGAGCATCACAACAAAGCCATGCAATTCCTGCAAATGACACATGGCAATTATGTTCATGTTTGGTAAACAGGACATGTGGACTGCAGTACCCTTACCATTTTTTCTGCTTTTTGTTTTGTTATGCATACACTAATTTATTTTTAATTTTATTTTCATTGTGTAAAGTTTGCCACATGCTAAACAGAACACTGCAGGCCTGTATATCATTAAAATCCTTGACCCTACTATGAAAATGCTTTCAATATCATTCTCCTGATGTTCTTTTAGCGCAACTAAATTAACACTTGCCTTTAATTAGCAAGATAAAAAGCACGTCTGACCATTCAACTGCTAACAAACAGTCAAAGTTGAACCATGTTGTAAGAGGTGTATTAGGAGTGGAAGATTCAAAAAGGAAAAGCACATTAGATCTTCAGTTCTGGAGAGGCAACTGTGTGCGTATAATAAATATGGGGTACTAAAAATCGAACCCCCTAAAATTTTATATACAGGTCATAGAAAAAAGTTAACAACATTAGAAGATCATATACTGTATATGTATCATTAAAATGTATGGATACATGGATAACCACCAGCATAGTATTGCATAGCTATTATATGGTACTAGTGGCTTCCTAGCATTCATGGTCAGGCTTTCGGGAGAGAGTCTGACACCAGATGGAAGGGGAGCACTGATCACCGGGAGACGGCATCTGCATATGCACCAAGGCTCTTTTATAGGCCAGGCTCTGTGATGTGAGTGCTTTTTCATTCAGTATACTTAATTGGCATCCAGGGGCTTGAATGCTGAGGAGAGCACATGGGATACACAGGCAGACAGGGACGTAAATGCTGAGGAAAGTACCTGGGATATACAGCATTGGCTATAATACATGCCTTTGTATTTTAGTCCTCTGGTGAATGCATAGAGGTGGAGGACTGCACACTGCTGGTGACAAGGTGGAGAAGTGAACATGGTTCAGCTTAATATTAATAGCTCGCAAAACAACATATATATATTAAACATTTCTCACCCTGCAGCAATGGACACCAGCAGTTTGACCACAAAGTTCTAGAATCGGCTGTGATCTTTTCCCCTGCAGTCTCAAGATGGCGCTGTTCCTCTGCCCACGAACTGTAAATGGTTGCAGCCCTTGTATGAAGTGTGTGCATCAAGTCAAGGAGCTGAAATTAAAAAGAAAGATAAATCAAATCTATGCAAGATTAGTGACATTAAGTGAAGAATATGCCTGTGTAACATATATTGCTTATAACAGTCCTCCTACGAATACACATAGTGCACCTGCATTTCCTTTTTAATATGACAGCTTGGTAATTTTAAAAGTTACCGCATAAACATAAAGGCCCCTTTCACATTGGTGCGCTTTCGCCACGTTTTTTCCAAGACGACAAAAGCACATGAAAACTACCCCCCATTAAATCCTACGTAACTATTCACACTGGAGCTGTGTTGTGTTTTGAAAAGTCCTGCATGCATCTTTGGTGCAGTTCTTCAAAAGTGCACCAAAAAGGTACGTTCCATTTTGGGTCAATGGTAACCAATCAGAAGCGCATCAGTGTGAAAGGGCCCTAAGCTGAATAAAAGCGCATCAGTGTGAATGGGCCCTAAAATCCTATATACGCTGTCGTGCTTTCAATGCTTGCGATTCCAGCTATGATTACCTAAGCCCTAGAAAATGTGTAAAATACACATATTAGACTCAACAGACAAAACTGTTGGAAGTGATATTTGACTAGACTGGATAATAGTAGTTAGGCACATTAAACTAGACTCGATCTGTAATGCTGAAGATATTTTGACTTTGAGCTAAATCTATCGGTTTGATCTAATGAGTGTCTAGAACACATTCCAGCATTTATAGCCACACAAGTAACTTTCAATTATTCTACCACCATAGTGTTATGTAATCTGTCACAACAGATTCTGATTGGCCAAAGACATGATGGGAGTTGTAAAAATGTGAGAAACCATCCCGGACCATGGGCCCATGGAGTCTGGGACAGATGTTAAACGTTCGGGTCACACAATAAACAGGTGTGAATTGTCAAATAGGCTGGGTAAAGAAATTAAAACAGATGGTGGCCCCCAATCAGGCTTTGGGAATGTGGTGTGCTATGAGCTATATATTATTATTCATAGCTGTTATGTGTACCGTGATATTAAAGTAAACCTCCTACATGGAAGCTGCCATCTGAAAATGCTACTTGCTGGTCTTTAATGCTGATTCTCTGGCAACAATACTTTGAATCATTGACCCTGACCAAGTATGTCGATAAGGACAGCTGAGTTTTCTCTGACTGATAATCTGCAAACTTGTTCTGGGTCAGTGACAAAAGTATTAGAGTTACAGGGCCGCCATATCAGCCAATCAATTATCATTTTTATAGCAAAGTCAGGGATAGTAATCTCTGAATTTTTCTATTATACTCTATGTCTTCTTTAAAGAGAATACTAGCAATTTCAGCTGCTCTTCTGCTAAAATAGTGAGGTATTTCAACAGAAATGTGTATGACCTAATCAACAGTTGTGCACAAGACAAGGGATGATGTAAATGCTTGACAGTCCTTCCTCCTTTAATCCACAATTTTCTGCTTTTTGGGTGGATAAACCTCAAATGAAGATACAGTATGTTCCTGCTGGAAGTATAGAAATGGCTTCTGAAAAGTCCTAATTAATTGTGGATGGAAATGGTCCACCTAATTTGTTTTTCATTGACCTGGATTAAAATTCACAATATCAAGACAGCCACATTCACAATTATGGTTTAATGAAGAAAAAACACAAATCCCTTTATAGAACCCACAAATATACAGGCCATATCCTCCTCAAAGTGAAGGAAGAAGTAGCCACATAGATAGTGGTAAACAATTTTCAGAAAGAAAGGGCATTTATAATTTAGAATTATAAATTTCACACCAAAGGGTAATTTACAGTGTCATAAAGAATCAAGCATCCTTCATCAAAACCTTAGAGTAAAGGTGATTAACATCATAGATATAAAGACGCACATAAGTGATACTGGATCAAAAAGCCTTCTATCACTGCATAAATGGAGGCTTGGCACTGGTGTCTGGATTGCGTATTCTCCTCTAGGTACCTATGTACCGGTTCACTGTTTTGTTGTCATTACCTAATCTCACAGTCAGGGACAATTTATCAAAAGCTAAAGAAACAAATGTAGTATAGCACTTACTTTTTTAAAACGGAAGTTATTTACATGCCGCCGTTGAAGCGAAGGATATAAAATTTCTTTATGAAGAATAGGTGAAGCCATGAAAATCATTCTTTAGATCTCTTTGGTTAAGACAGAACTGCTTTCATGAGAGAAACCTGCATACTGCCTTTACAGAGCTCTACTACAAAAAATGCTAGTTAACTGGCTGTCATGACTTCGGATCTCCATATTTCTTGTAGGGCCAGTGACTTAAAGAATGAATCCAGTGATTCAGAAAAGCAGTCAACTAGCATCTAGATGATGATTCAAGCACAGGCACTGAATTTTCTAATTAAAGTTCCACTTAAAGAAATAAAGTCCTGATAGATTACTTCATGCTGGTCCTTTTGATGTATAGCTATATAAAATATTAAAAATAAGTGGCCATAGTGTTTAAAATCCAGTAACACTTTCTGATCCTGCTCTGCACAGCCTCAGTTGTCCTGTATTCTTGGCATTGTGCTGATAATCAGTGAGTCACTAGAGGCCAATCAGCTAACAGCATAAAGATATACTACAGCTGAGGGGGAAGGAAACAACAAGAATGACACAGACTGTGCTGAGGGAACACAGATTAGAGAGAAAGAGAAAAGAACAGGAGAAGTGACAGGACAAAGTCTGTTCTAATGGAGATACAAACTAGAAACTTAAAGGATAGTGTCTCATCTTATCTCCCGGATATTGTCTCCTTTATCTCTTGCAGTACTATGAATTTCGGCACTGTAAAGCTATTGCCGCTTTCCTTCCTAGCTGAGCCAAGACACACATTTTAATTGCAGAATGTGACAAAGATTTTGGGACTAAGGAGAGAAGCAGAGTTTTCAATAAAGAAGTGATTGCTTTGGGCTTCAACAAAATGGCAGCCTCCAGCAAGAACAAACAGGAGCAATTTACAGCACACATATTACTGTGGAATGTAAGTTTGTTTATTACAGAACATTAAATGTTATCAAATTGTTGTGGGTAAAGTTGCACTTTAAGCACAGGTTTCCATTAAGGCGGTCACCAGTCAGGCAGGAGCCTCCCTGAGAGCAACGGGCAAGTAATTAAACCTCTGCATTTGGAGCTGCCTCTGTTTCTGGAACATCTTGTCCAACCAACTATAGTGATAAATGTTTGGGTAAAACCAAGACAGAGAGGGAGGGATTGGCCATTTCCTCAGAGTTTCCTCCAGGTCAAGAAGCAAGACACTACATATATACAAGTTTAACGAGTTAGTTTGTGGTAAGCAAGCCAAAAAGGAACCTAAAAAACTCTCACTAAAATACTGTGGAATGCAGAACTACCTTCTAAAAACTGAAGGTATTTAGCTACATTACAAAGAAGGTTTATTCGTTAGTGAAACTGTAGAGCCAGACCAGTTTAGAAAAGTAGTATAAATGCTTTGAAGACAACAGATCTGTTAATTTGCAGAAAAGTCATGTCTCAGCAAAGATGAAACACAGGTAACAAACGATTTGCTGAAGGAATCAAGTAGTCCCCATTGTCTAGTCTAATCCAGTACACAAGGGAAAATATGAAGGAGGAGGAAAGGCCTGCCATACTTACGTCGTGACTAACCTGTAATGACACAGTGTGGTAACTAGCTGGCACACTCTCGTCTTCCTCATCATCACTGTGAGAACGATACTGGCGCTGGTTGGAGACTCTTGAGCGACGCAGTGTATTTTCTTTCTCTTTACTTTTCTTCTTGAAACGGCTAGCTTTACTGTCATACTTATGGCTCTTCACTCTCTTCTCTTGTGATTTGTACCCTTTAAAAACATACAATTTAAAGAGATTCATTTGGCATTAAAAGATTAGTGGTATCCGAATGCTGATCAAAATCTTGTCTAAACAAGTATGGCAAGCCTACGGCAAACTTTTGCAATATTAACAACCTTACAACCAAATAGTGTTTCTGTGATACCATTTGGCTTTAAAATAATTAGTGTTAACCACAATGCAAACAGTCTGCAGTCTGGTGAACACAGTTCAATGTTTGCATGTTAAAATTAAGTACACCCCTCGGAAATGGTTGACTTTTTCAACATATTTGAACAGGCAAGCCTAAGATCTTCATTCAACAATGCCTACAGATATGAGACATGATACAGTTGAATAAATGACACATAAAACAGACAAGGTGTATGCATTCTCACAATCCAAACAAATAAAAAAATAGCATTTTGGAGCTGTACTGGCAGAATAACTCCATGGGACAAGCAGCGATTCAGGGCATTGTGAAAATCTAACTGGCCTTGGGCAGTTTCTAGTTGGTTTGAACAAGAAAAGCGATGAGTGGGTAGAGTTTTGACCTCCAATTTGTATCTATTTGAAACTACTGACTGAACCTAAAGTTCTGTGACATCTGAGACCCAGAGTAAGGCAGACTAACAAATGTTCCTCACTAATAGGAGTAAGGGTGCCCTTTTATCGTGAAGAGGGCTTTGGGGAAGGCTTGGCAACCTTTGTATATAAAATATATCCAAATAAAGTCAAATTTCTTCATAAGTTTAGGCCAAAATGTATTCCACTATATGTGTTTGGTAAAATAAATCCCAAGAAGTGTATATTAACTGGTTGGTGTGAAAGTTATAGCATCCACAAACTGTGGTATATATACTTGAAAACTGATCAATCCTGATGTACTGATTGCCCATCTCATTTCTTGAGGCCCTTAAAATGCCAGGACAGTACAAATATCCCCCAAATGACTGCATTTTGGAAAGTAGACAGTCTGAGGTATTTAGTACAAGGCATGGCGAGTTTTTTTAAGTCATTTTTTTAATCATGATTTTTTTGGAAAAATTAAATAAAGTTTGTCTTTTTTTTACAATTTTTCTTCTTTTTAACATACTGTCACCAGTATCATCATATGCTTGTGTGGCAGTGATCAGGGACATTGACTGATGACAGTAAGCAATAAAAAAAAAAAAAAAAAAAAAAAAAAAAAAATTATATTTTTTTTAATTCAATTTTAATTTTTTTGTTCAAACACATACTGTCATCAGAGTAGCTCAGTGTCTCAATAGTGCCATTCTGGGGGAAGGTTGATTAAAAAAAATCCTTAAACACTGTTATTGCTTATACAGTATAATCATTGTATAAGCAATAGCCTTAGTTGTCATGAATGGATTTCCCTTTCATGAACAGCTTTCCAATGGTTGTGATCTGTGATTGGTTACAGCTAATCACATGGTACAGGTAGCCAGGTACCATGTGATTGCTGTGGGCCAATCACAAATCACAACAGTAAGCATACTGTTCATGAATGGAAAGCCATTCATGGCAGGTTGTTTACATTATCATGTGATCGCTATGACCAATCACAGCGATTACATGATACCTGGTTACCATTAGCAGTGATCCACTAGACACAGCAGGGGCATGCATATACATGACTGAGGCTACAACATGTGCTGCCCCCTGCCACAGTGAATGTAATGCAGCAGGGTGGCAAAGGGTTAAGGTTTGTACAGCACTTTTTTTTTTTTTTTGGTTAAATAACAGACTTCCACCTAATGGCTAAAAATACAGAAAACCATTAAATATTTTATAATAACCTAAAATAATTTTTTTTTTTAGCCTTCACATTAATAAATTTTGCAAGACAAATATGTACAAAACCAGTATACATTCCCATTAAGTAGAATTCTTTTCTTTTACTAGTGGGCGAGATATGAATAGGGTTGGGATAGAGACATATTTGAGATGCAATTTTTTCTTAATAAAAAAGTGTTCCTGAGAGATAAAAAAAATGACAGGCAGTATAACATGCCAAGATCTATCAAAACTCAAATATCAGATTTGGAAAGAGTGTTCTTTAACCTTTAACCCTTTTTGTCTTAGTCATAATCACACTTTGTTTTTGCTATAAAATGCTCTTGACATGTATACATTTAACTTTTTGTTCACTCCTGTTATATTCAGAACAAATGGTGTATTTATATTTGTGTGTATGTTGACCAGTCCTCACCTCTAGCTGCACCCAGTTTACGACTGTAGTCTGTTTCCTGAGAAACATCCCCCACTATTCATGTCATCCTTATCAGCTTCTAATTGGGGTGGAGTTGAATGCTCATTTGAGCATCTCCCTATAAATTTAGATCAGCTCATGGGGGGAGATCTCTGATGGGGGGCACAGTCTCTGATGGGGGTGCTGCTTCAGATTGAGTGCGGCTTTGAAAGAGTGCGATGCAGTTAAACACAGCAGTTGAACTAAAGCAGGAGAACTTAAGCAGCAGGAAGACACAACAACAACAACAAGTAACTCTACTGCACGCTGGACAGACTGCAAGCAAACACCCTGGAAAACCTCTCTTACATACCTGAGTCCCACTCCGTATACCTTTATATAATACATCCCCTCTTCATATTACTATCCTCTGTTCCCAAATCTCATTTCTTTACCCCTCTGCTGCACCCCAAAACTTGTACATCTCCACCTCATTGCTATCATCTCCCTACTACTGCTCTCATCACCCCCCCAAAATGCCTCTTCTACTCCTCCTCATTTTTCTCTCCTCCATTCCCAAAATCCATTCACTTTATCCCTCTGCTCCTCCTAAACATTTGTATATTGTGTCCTCACTGCTTCCTTCGCCCCTCTATGGCACCCACCACCTCCTCCTATTACTCCACTCTCACAGTGACCCGAACACCTCCACTAGGAGTTTCTCACGCTCCTGCACATCCCGCTCCCATGCCACCTTTCTCACCCTTCTCATCCTCCTAGTCGCGGGGGACATCTCCCCGAATCCTGGCCCTCCACCACCTCCCTCATCCGCACAACACCCTCCTGCCTCCACGTCCTACCGCAACCCCCGCAACCTAGTATCTGTCCCCCTGCTCCCTAAAATCTCCCCCCCGTTTTCATGTGCACTCCTGAACGCCCGATCGGTGTGCAACAAGCTTACCGCCATCCATGACCTCTTTGTTTCCCGCTCCCTCAACCTCCTAGCGATCACGGAAACCTGGATCCAGCCCACTGACTCTACCTCCCCTGCTGCACTCTCCTATGGAGGTCTCACCTGGACCCACTCACCCAGACCTAACTGTCGTAAAGGTGGTGGGGTTGGTCTGCTCCTGTCACCGCAGAGCACCTTCCGAGTCCTCCCAAACCCCCCCCCTATCCTTCTCCTCCTTCGAGGCCCACTGCGTCAGACTATTCTCCCCAACCCCCCTGAAGATTGCGGTGATATATACCGGCCTCCTGGATCCATACCCCGCTTCCTGGATGACTTTTCCTCCTGGCTACCCTTCTTCCTCTCCTCTGAGCTACCCACCATCATTCTTGGGGATTTCAACATCCCTGTCAACCTCGACAACCCAGACACAGCCCGTCTCCTCCACTTAACCTCCTCCTTTGCACTTGCACAGTGCATACAATCCACCACCCACTCCGACGGTAATATCCTTGATCTTGTCTTCTCCAACCGCTGCGCTCCCCACAACCTCACTAACACCCCCTTCCCTCTCTCTGACCACAACCTGATTACCTTCTCTATCTCCTCGTCCTCCAACGCCTACCCCTCCAAATGTCACACTACTACCAGCCATAACCTCCGCAACCTTAACCCTGCCCCCCTCCACTCTGCAGCTGATCAACTCCATGACAGCATCCTCCCCCTGTCCTGCCCCGACTTGGCTATGACTGCCTACAACAACGCGCTGTCAACAGCCCTTGACTCACTAGCGCCTTTAACCACACGCAACATCAGACCCCGACCGCTCCAGCCCTGGCAGACTGATCACACCAAAATCCTCAAACGACACAGTCGTGCCCTGGAGCGACTATGGCGCAAAACAAAATCCCAACAAGCCTTCACCCGCTACAAATCTGCCTTCCGCACCTACACCTCCTCCCTCCACGCAGCCAAACAAGCCTACTTCCTGACCCTCATCAAGACCCTCTCCTCCAACCCTCGCCGACTCTTCTCCACCTTCAACTCTCTACTCTCTCCACCCCCACCCAGCACCTCACTCACCACCCTTGAGATTACCAATCACTTCAAAAACAAGATTGACACAATTCGCAAGGACATTGCCGCAACTCACACGCCCTCTCACACAGCTACCCCCTCATCCCCCCTCCCCCTCGACATTACCCACAGGGACTTAGTCACTGCTCAAACTCCCTCCAACCCCGTTCCCCCTCACTCAGCTACCCCCTCATCACCCCTCTCCCACGGCCCCACCACTGCTCTGACCTCCACTTCCACCCCACCCTACATTCCTCATACTGAAGCTCCCCCAACACTCCACACCTTTGACCTTACTACCATCGAGGAAGTCTCCAAGATCCTCTCTGATGCCCGCCTCACCACCTGCCCCCTCGACCCTATCCCCTCACAATTCCTACGACCTCCCTCCCCCTCCATCCTACGCTCCCTCACCCACATCTTTAATCTCTCCCTCTCCTCCGGCACTTTCCCCTCCCCACTGAAGCATGCACACATCACCCCCATACTTAAAAAGCCCTCCCTGGACCCCAATGACCCGAACAACCTCAGACCCATCTCCCTGCTCCCATTTACATCTAAACTCCTCGAGCGCCTCGTCTACACCCACCTATGCTCTCACCTCAACGACAACAACCTCCTCGATCCCCTACAGTCTGGCTATACCTATAATGCTACCACCTCCCCCTCACTCCCCCTCTCTGTTGGGGTCCCTCAAGGCTCTGTCCTTGGGCCCCTTCTCTTCTCCATCTACACCTCCTCCCTTGGCCAACTCATACACTCTCACAGCTTCAACTACCACCTCTATGCCGACGACACACAAATCTATCTCTCAACCCCCCACCTCACCCCCTCTGTCTCTGCCCGAATCACACACCTACTGAGCGACATATCAGATTGGATGTCGCTCCACTTCCTTAAACTGAATCTCTCCAAAACCGAGTTTCTTGTCTTCCCCCCAGCCCGAACCCCACCCCCCATTGACTTCTCCATCACATCCAACAACGCCAATATCAAACCCGCTCTGCAGGCCAGAGTACTTGGTGTCATTCTGGACTCCAACCTATCCTTCCAGCCCCAAGTCCAATCTTTAACAAACTCGAGCAGACTCCACCTCCGCAACATCGCCAAAATCCGCACGTTCCTAACCCCAGAAACCACTAAACAGCTCATCCACTCCCTCATCATATCACGACTCGACTACTGCAACTCCCTCCTCACTGGCCTGCCTCGCTGCTGGCTATCCCCGCTTCAGTCGATCCTGAATACGGCTGCCAGACTCATTCACCTTTCCAACCGCTCCGTTTCCGCAACCCTCCTCTGCCAATCCCTCCACTGGCTTCCGATTGCGCAACGGATCAAATTTAAAATCCTAACACTGACGTACAAAGCTGTCCACCATACTGCCCCGAACTACATCACCGACCTAATATCCAAGTACCACCCAGCACGCACACTCCGCTCCTCACAAGACCTCCTTCTCTCTAGTTCCCTGGTCTCCTCCTCCCATGCCCGCCTCCAGGACTTCTCCAGGGTGTCACCCATCCTCTGGAACTCCCTTCCCCAACCCATCAGATTATCACCTACTCTCCTCTCCTTTAGGCGCACCCTGAAAACCCATCTCTTCAGGGAAGCCTACCCCCTGCTAACTTGCCGACCTCCTCCACTCTTCCTACCACTCCATCCCCCACAGCTATCTCCTCCTATACCACTATCCCGTCCCTTCTAGATTGTAAGCTCAAAAGAGCAGGGCCCTCGATCCCCTCATGTTTTGCATTGTATTGGTATTGTTCTGTCACATGTTCTGTCCCCCTTTGTAATGTACAGCGCTGAGTGAACTATTGGCGCTTTATAAATACTGTATAATAATAATAATAGTTATGCAATACAAAGCTATTTAACAATGCTTCTTAAATAGTAAAAAAAATGTTTTGATAGTTAAAAAAAAATCCTAGCAACACTTACACACACCTCCGTTTAGACTCGCCTCTACGAAGACACGTATAGTCTTCACACACAGCTCAAAGTTTTCTGGTGTAACATGTGCAGCATCCCGAACAATAAAAGATAGAGACTCCACGCTCTTCATGAGAGATTTTGTATCATGTGGGCCAAAGTCCAAACCAATTACTAAACTGTACTGGTTTACTGGAGTGCTGGCACCAGGCTTGCTCATTGCTGCAGACACTTTAGAAGAGTCCACATCCTCCTTTCCGACCTGTGTAGAGAAGACAAACCTTTACATACTAAAAAGTATAAAATGAAGCTTCAATACTGTGTTGTAAACTGCAAAATGATTTGCTTTACACTTTTAAATGCCAGATAATTTAAGGTAGCAAATTCTAAGGAAAAGTATATTCTGAACTTTTTAAATGTATCCAGATAGAATAGAGTTGTATCACAGAGGACCCTCAATGATAGTTTATTTGTAGTAATTTCCATCCCTCCATTTTCCCATCTACTACCAGCTGAGGGCAACAGTTTTATGGTTTATCCCTTTTTTTCTCTTCCCCTTTCTTCTCTTCTAAGGAATATCCTTTCCCCATAAAATCGAAGATGGAGTCTATTGTGGTGGAGTGCTGGAGGATGACCCAGCCAAGAGAGGGTCCTGTAGTTAGGTTTCAGGGGCTAGTACCCCCTTGGTTAATACCACATTCATTATTGGAATTTGTATTCTATGAATAGTTGCTGGTCTACAGGTATTTTTATTTTATGATGTGATTATCGATGTGTTTGTTAGATATGAATTATATTGAAATGTATACATGGATTTTTATTTATATTCTCTGGGTCTCTCCCCAGGAGTTCATAATAAAGATTAAAGTGAAAAAAAAAACTTGTATTCAGACACAAAGCTGCTGAAAACACAGCTTCACCAAAAAACATTGAATAGATTATATATCTTTTTTAATTGCTGCAATTGAAAGGGGCATTTCTTCGATGATTTCAGTTAAGCTGTGTCAGCACCTGCCAATACGATATCTGAGCTTCCTGGTTTCACAGGTGGAGTGCATTTTCTAAACACTTCTACAGCAGACAAATCACTACATTGCAGGTCACATAGAAATGTTGAAGTGTTTTAATATATTTTTTTTGTGAAGAAAACTCATATCTGAAGAAATACATAGGGGACCACTAATAATTTCCATGTGGATGTGGTTTATTGGTGTCTATGTAGTCATTGAGATTTGATGTCTATTTATTACAGAGAATGATCGAAGTTCCACAATTGTATGGTTCTCACTGGGACAAAGAATGATGGGAATTCCAATATGCTATAGTTGTCACTGCAATAGGAGGTTAGAAAATATCAATTCTAGTTACATAGGTCTAGGAAGAGATTTCCAGTCACTTCTTGTTGTATCTGTAAGCACTTTAATGCTCTGTACACTCGGCATCGCAAATACAGTAAAACACAAAGCTGCAAAAGCATTTAATACCCGTTTGTTGATGATTTAAAGATGGAGATAATGGTGGCAGGCTCCTCTCTCCTACAATTCTCTTACTTTCCCTTGTACTTCTTTCCTCTGTTTTATTCAAGACCTGGTTGTACAATTTCTGTTACAGCAGACACCTATTTTTGACTATGATCTAACAATGGCCATCATGTCTTGTGAATCTTATCTATACGGCTTTAAAGTGATCTTATTGTTAATTCTGTAAGATTTATGTATTCGTGCTACTCAGTTTGCTAAGTAGGATGGTATTAACCACTTGCCTACCCTTCCTGCCCAGGCCAATTTTCAGCGCTGTCGCACTTTGAACAACAATTGCGCAGTCATGCAACACTGTACCCATATGAAATTTTTATAATTTTTTTTCACAAAAATAGAGCTTTCTTTTGGCGGTATTTAATCGCCACTGGGTGTTTTAATTTTTGCGCTATAAACAAAAAAATTAGCAAAAAACAAAAAAAAAAAAAAAAAAAAAGTTTTTCTTTGTTTCTATTATAAAATTTTGCAAACAGGTAATTTTTCTCCTTCACTAATGTACGTTGATGAGGCTGCACTGATGGACACTGATAGGAGGCACTGCTGGGTGGCACTGATCATCAGTGCCCTAATGATCAGTGCCGATCACTTCTCTGACAATTGACGGTTTTCGGCAGTACTTTCCTCACATTGTGACAGCATGAGGAAAGTGCAGCCGATAACCGGCAACTGTATTTACCCGGTGATTTGCGGTGTCATTGGACACAGCTAATCACGTGGTAAAAGGCCGCAGTTATTGGCCGTTTACCGTACCACGTGATCAGCTGTGTCCATAGGACACAGTGATCACCGGCAGCGCGCCGCTGCGGGTGTGTTCTGGAATGACGTCTCTGGACGTTGTCCCAGAACCAGACAACCACGCTGTAGCCTTCCTTCGGCTATAGCATGGTAGGGAACTGGTTAATGTTAATAGTGACGACCGCTGGTATGTATTTGATTGTGCATTGCTGGAACACTCTCTTACTATTTACCAAGATCCAATGTAACCCACTGTGCATGTATTTTTCTTATAAATGTTTCAATTAAAAAAAAATATATATATTTTTTTTAATAACAGGTAAAGGTCCCTTACCACTAGCCAACCGCTATTCACCATATCCACATCAGTGACAGATCGGTGCATCTTCGACTGCTTGCTATGCTCCGTATATACCTCAGAGTCTGAGGTGTATCCACGATCCAGACTCACATCAGTCGAGTGGTATGAAGACACTTCACTGTCTGACTGTGCACCTGAACACAGAGATAAAAGTTAAAAAAAAAAAAAACCCACAGAAATATCACATTCAAAACATAAAAGAAATTTAACTGTGATGGACAAACTATGCACCAAGCAAACTCCGAGTAAACTGGTAAAGGCAGCACTCTTTGAAATATGCATCCAGGCCATGCATACAAAAGAAAACATACTAAAATAATTTTACCAAAAACTTGGACATGATCTCTAACTGTTAGTGGAAATAAATGACCACTGAAATAAAAAAGCAAACAATCCGCTTGGCAGAAATGCTGGAATGCTAACTTGGCCTTTGTGCTCACAGTGTATATGCAGTCATATAAAATCCCTGAGTTTAGCTCTCCATGTCCCTGTAAAAATATCTCATCCAGAGAGGTTTGAGATATCTATCTAGTTCAAAACACTTTCACAAAACAAATCACAAACAGTAGTGAGGTCCTGTTGGTATAGATCAGGGGTCTCCAAACTTTCTAAACAAATGGGTTGGTTACTTTCCTTCACACTTTAGGCGGTCAGACTATGGCCAGTGGGAGTTAATGATGCCCCATTGTTGGCGTGAGTGAAAGATATAGTGCATCATCACTGGTTTCAGTGGGGGGAATGGTGCCCCATCATAGTTGTCAGTGGGGGGAATTGTGCCCCACTATTGGTATCAGTGGGAGGAATACTTTCCCGAGGACTGGATAAAGGCAAACAAAAGGGCCACATCTGGTCCCCAAGCCACAGTTTGGAGACCACTGGTCTAGATTATCCGACTGTATGAAAATAATTTAAAGCAGCATTTATTAAATCAGAATGTACCCCTTTAAAAAGCCACAGTTTAGAAATACATTTATGTTTTGAGATGACAGAAAACCCTTACCGACATCCAGCAAGTTATGTTGAATTTCCTGTACCTTTAAGCAGACACCCTTTTGAACCATTATAAAGATAATGCTACTGGTATGAGTGGCTAAGAAGCAAAGAGTTTATTGGACTACACTTGTTAAAATTTTAGATTTGATATACCATTTAACAAATTAATCGAATAATGAAAAAATACTGTTTATGGATTTCACCAAGTTACAGAATACATAGAATGGTTAACCACTTAACCATTTTTCAGTTTTCTGTGCTGTGCTTATTTGACTGACAAGTATGTAGGCATGCATCACTGTACCCAAATGAGTTTTATATCCTGTTTGAGACAGAGTGGTATTTAATGAGGGCTGAATTTATTTCTCTTTACTATAAAATGGAAAAAAAGAGCAAAATATCCTGAGAAAAATAACGATTTCCCTTACTTTGTGTTAAAATAAAAATGACAAGACAGTACAAACCCCCAAATTGACTCCTCTTTGAAAGTATATACCCAAACACGATCTCTTTCTGCCAGAATTTTTTCAGAAATAAACATACTTGGGTTTAAAAACAGAACCTGGTGCAATAACATATTATTTATACAGGTCATCCAGAGGGATCAGGAGGGTGCTTTAATTTGCAATCCATATCATATTTACTTGAAATACTATATCCCCACCTCTTATATTATTTTTACATTTGTATAATATTAACATAAAACAGGGTTAGTAAATTAAATCTACATGTAACAACAAATTTCAGCTACTTTTATGCTGATATTTGAAGTGCACACCTTCACCAATAGATGGCACCAATAAACCATATTAATTCTTACAAATCATTCAGGTAATAAATATGGGATTTACAAAATGTAAGGATGTCACCCTCATCCTTGATCTACAATTTACAAAAGCTAAAACCAGAATGCAACTTGAATTTAAATTCCAGGCTGTCCAACTGTTCTGAGTCAGTGATTCACTACATAGTAAAGTATACGGAGGACAGCCTCAAGGTGTGTACATTTAAAAACAAAGTTGTCAGCTACAGTGCTTATATTTCTACCCTGACAGGTTGCCTTCAACATATGGCCCTGTGAACTTAACATATTTAGAGACACAATTAACCTCATGTGTGATTGGCACAAAGATGAGTGGTTATATTTTTATGATTTTAGAACAAAATATTTTTGAGTAGCTTTTTTTACAGATATGGCAATGTCAGAATATTTTTCTCAGATGGACACTTAAAGTGGTTGTAAATGTAAAATGTTTTTCTTTCACCTTAAAGTGTTACTAAAGCCACAACATTAAAATCAGTCTATATATGCAGTAAAGAATGCTTGCTATACTCATTATGGAACCTAAGGGGTTAATCCTCTGCATAGTGTAATAGGGCTGCTTGATCCTGACTTCTCTGATCCTCCGCCTTCTTCCAGTCCCCCCCCTCTTATTTCCTGATGAGAGTATGGAGTCACTCTGTAAATGCTCAGTTTGGCGTGTATTGCTAGAGAGGTTTTTTTTTCTTTGGGAAAGTGCATGTGATCAGCACAGGGCCAATCATCACTGTCCAGACAGAGGTCAGGGGTTCTGCATCCTGCTAGAGCAAAACAAAAACTCCTCCTACAAGCTTTAACATGTGCTCTGCTGGACACTGATAGAAGTCACAAGAGTGCTCTAACTGCTGTTGAGAAAATTAATTTAGCAGTTTAGATTTACTAAAATAATTGCACTTCCATGTTCTGTGTACTGTGGGAGACCAAATATAGTGGATGTAGGGTCCTGGGTGTAGTAACACTTTAATGCATTCTCTGCATTAAGGTAAAAATGTTTCAATAGTAGGCTCCCCAGTCTGCCCCTTAAAAGAGAAATATGGGGTAAAGAAAAAAAAAAACAAAAAAAATAAACTCACCTAGGTGGATAAGGAATTGATCCCAGCTGCATGTGTCCCCCACTGCATCTAAAACGGAGTACTGAGTGATCAAAGACCACTGGTCGCTTGGTTCTCAGTCTTCAGAGAGGCAGTGACTGCCAGCCACCAGCTCTCTGCTCCTCCAGTGCTCACTGGAGCACTCAGGTGTGGAGGGGGTGGGAGCCTAGTTCAGGCTCTTAGTGGCTCACTGACATTCTGAGTCAGCTGCCAGTCCAGGCATTTGGGTGGATCCCAACTGTAAATACGGTATCTTTCCTTTGCACAGTAACATCAGTTTTAGCCCGCTGTTGGCTGAAAACCAGTCACAGGAGTGCAGAACGAACTGCACTCCTGTGATCTATAGAAGTATGGCCAAAAGCGGTTTGGATATACTTCTCCTTTAAACACTTATCCGGGTCTGGGTGCAGCGTTGCATGACTGCGCAATTGTCAGTTAAAGTAATGCAGTGCCTTAACGCAAAAAATGGCCTGGTCAGGAAGGGGGGAAAATCCTCTGGAGGGCAAGTGGTTAAATAAGCGGATATTCTATATTTAATATGCGGTTCAGTAACGGTACTCCAAAACCCAAGTGACCTGATGACACGGTTGCCTCCTGAGATTACACCTCACAGCAGTACAGCATTCCCCCATTAGATTCAATGCAGCAAGCATGGAGCACTGTGCAACATTTAAAAACACTGCTCTTTAATGATCTTATGGCCTATAAAGGTTATTGACCGAAAAAAGAAACCTATATAGCGCAGGACTACTTTCAGTGGTATTTGATTACCTGTGCGGTTTTTATTTTTGGCGCTAAAGAAAAAAAAAATTTTGAGAAAAAACACCAATATTTTTGACTTTTTGTTATTAAACATGTCCAGTAAAAAATTAAAATCAAATTTTGTCATAAATTTAGGCCAAAATGTATTCTGCTACATGACCCTACAAAACCCCACTACGTGTAAATTAATTGGTTTACATGAAAGATATAGTGTTTACAAATGGCAGTAAAGATACTGGAAATTTTTTTTGTTTTTTATTTTTTACTAGAAATGGCAGCAATCAGTGACTTATAGGAGGGACTGCGGCGGGAATTCTGACACTGGGGGAAACAGACTTGGTGTCACTGACATCCCCAGTGACACCAATACAGTGATCAGTGCTAAAAAAAACAACAAGAAAAAAACCAAACAAAAACGAAAAAAAACACTGGACACTGTACTAATAGCATTGTGCAGAAAGGGGTTAACATGGGAGGCGATCAAAGGGTTAACTGTGTGCGGTTTCATTATAAGCTGTGTCCATATGCTTCACTGTAATGTGCACAGCCATCCAAAGCAGTGTGCATGAGCTGACAGGGAGGAGAACTGCTTTGTTTACAAACAGTTCTCCTCCCTGTCGGAGATGTTCTGCAATCACTGGGTGCCAGAGAGTAATCACATGCCAGGACCCAGTGACTGACAGCCTGCGAATGGTAGCACGGGTAGGGCACAAGCGCTCCCTACCCGGAGGTGTAAAATCACGTATATATACGTGATTTTGTGCACCGGTGCCATGCTGTAGCAGTATATCTGCTATAAGGCAGTCGGGAAGTGGTTAATGTGACCTATAAACCGTACAACTCAATTGAAAAACAAACTGAAATCTTTTTTCTTGGGGGGGGGGGGGGGAGTAAACATAAAAAAACTAAAATAATGTGGTTGCATAATTGTGCACACCCTCTGTAGCTGTGTTCAGAATTAAGCAATCACATTAATAATCATGTTAAATAGGACTCAGTACACACCTGCCATCATTTAAAGTGCCTCTGATAACTGTAGTCTTCATATGTCTGGGCTATGGGGTAGAGTGGCAAGACGGAAGCCTTTTCTTACAAAGAAAAACATCCAAGCTTGGCTAAACTTGGGCCTTAGTCAAGGTAGAGGGAATTATGAACAGTTCCAAACACCAGTCAATATTGGCACATAACCTTCAGGTTTCTGCTAGAAAGCTGAACATGAAGAGGAACTTCATCTTTCAGCAGGACAACGACGCAAAGCATACATCCAAATCAACAAAGGAATGGCTTTACCAGAAAAATATTAAAGTTTTGGAATGGCCCAGCCAGAGCCCAGACCTGAATCCAATCGAAAATCTGTGGGGTGATCTGAAGAGGGCTGTGCACAGGAGAAGCACTCGCAATCTGACAGATTTGGAGTGTTTTTGCAAGGAAGAATGGGCAAATATTGGCAAGTCAAGATGTGCCATGCTGATAGACTCATATTCAAAAAGACTGAGTGCTGGAAGGTGCTTCCGCAAAGTATTAGTTTAAGGGTGTGCACAGTTATGCAACCATATTATTTTAGCTTTTTATTTTTCCTTCCACCTAAAAGATTTCAGTTTGATGTCCAACTGAGTTGTACAGTTTATAGGTTACATTAAAGGTGAAAAATGTTCTGAAATTATTTACCTTGGCCTCATTTTTATACATCACAGAAACCTGATATTTTAACAGGGCCGTGTAGACTTTTTATATCCAGTGTGCGTGTGTGTTTATCGATATATTTTCCTATAAGCTCTTAGCCACATCACTATCTATGATATAAAATACACAGTGGCCACATTTTAGAAGGTGGTTAATATGCAGAGCAGATGATCCTGTTTAATTTCACTAATGTACTTAAACAAGATATTTGTTTTCCTCATCTGTCCTTCATTGTAATCAGGCACAGCATAAAACAGCTGCTTATCTCTGAAAGGCATAGGATTTCATTAGTGCACATTCTCCATGTACCTGTGTCATTATCGCTCCTGGTTGTCACCTGCAGGGCAGGTGGAGGCTTCACTCCTGCACCAATACACTCCAGCAGGCAAAACAGTGTATACCAATCATTGCTAGAGTGGATGTTGGCAGCATTGGTCTTCAACAGTTCATGAAGGCCGAAAGCAACTTGGCGGCTTACTCGGGGAAAGGACACTTGGTTTCATCATTAGCAGAATGCGAAGGGAAAGGAGAACCTGTAGAAATATAAAGTAGAATGTGTGCTAAGTTTGTAAAGCCATTCAGGATGTATTACTGCACTTGAGCAAATGTCACTCTTACAAAATGTACACAGACAAGCTAGATGCAGAAACGTATACAGAGCATGTATCATCATGCCTGCATGAACATGGTATACCAAATACTGTTCCAGTACAGGGAAGAAAAGGGGGGGTACATCAGGAATAACAATCAAAGCAAGTTCAGCCAGACAACAAATCCGAAATTAATTTCAATAGAGAGAAAAGTACTTTTTCACACCAGACGTGTGTACTAAAGCAGGTTGGCTGAAAACATTTCCTCTGGTCGCAGTTTCTATGGTCTGCTAGGCACTCAGTTTTGACTAATTTGTATAAAGGGCCTTAGTTCTCTCCGATGTCTAATGTATAATGCATTTATGCTGACCTAAGCAACTTATTTTATTCTGCATATGTTAAAGTGGACGTTAACTGTATCCGAGCACCACAAACTGAAAACGAGATTTAATTCATTTTAAATATCCAAAGCAAACGCATCTATTCATCCATGCTTTATTTTGCTGAGATATCACTTTGAAAAACACCCTCTAGCATTTCTATCAGCAGCCATCTTGAGTAAGAGCAGATTTTTCTTGTAGCATTTACTTCCTGGAATCCATCTGCCAATGGCTGAGGCATGGAGGCAGGTGGGTGTGCTTAGCTGAAAAAACCTCCTCCCCTCCTCCAGATTTAAGAAAGAAAAATGCCCATGAAGACTCATGGGGCATAATACATCATTTTGGTGTAGGTCAAAAACCCGGAGACAACTGAATATGAAAAAAAGGTTTAAAAACACAAGTAAATATAATATCCCTTCCTATCTATTGTACTTACTAATGCCAGCAGCATAAAGATTAAAAATAGATGATTTAAATAAAAAAGAAAGCTTTCCAGTTGGCTGCTACAGGAAATTACAACATTATTACTTCAGTCATTTCTCATACATTAAGAACTCTGCATTTAACTATACTGTGCAGTTACAGTGGGGATCGAAAGTTTGGGCACCCCAGCTAAAAATTTGTATTAATGTGCATAAAGAAGCCAAGGAAAGATGGAAAAATCTCCAAAAGGCATCAAATTACAGATTAGACATTCTTATATGTCAACAAAAGTTAGATTTTATTTCCATCATTTACACTTTCAAAATAACAGAAAACAAAAAAATGGCGTCTGCAAAAGTTTGGGCACCCTGCAGAGTTAATATCTTGTACTGCCCCCTTTGGCAAGTATCACAGCTTGTAAACGCTTTTTGTAGCCAGCCAAGAGTCTTTCAATTCTTGTTTGAGGTATCTTTGCCCATTCTTCCTTACAAAAGTCTTCCAGTTCTTTGAGATTTCTGGGCTGTGTCACGCACTGCTCTTTTAAGGTCTATCCATAGATTTTCAATTACCGTATTTTCCGGCGTATAAGACGACTTTTTGACCCTTGAAAATCTTCTCAAAAGTCGGGGGTCGTCTTATACGCCGGTATACGGCATGCTGACACTTTTTAGGGGGGCGGTGCGGTGCCGCCGCCGCCCCCCCCTTCCAACGGAAGTGAAACTAAGTACAGGGGTGGACAGGGGCTTCTGTTTCTTACCTGGCTCCGGTCCCACGACGATCCGGTCCAGGAAGCGCAGCTGCTCCTTCCTTCAGTTCGGCCACTGGATGTTCGTGCGGCTGCTCGGCTCCGCCTCCTCACCGGTGATTGGCCGCCAGAACTGTAGCTCAGGAAAGGCACACAGGCGACCAATCCCCGGGGAGGAGGCGGAGCCGAGCGGCCCCGCGAAAATCAAGTGAAGATAAGTGTGCCGTGCACAGGTGCTGCTGCAACCATATATGCTTGCTGCAGCAGCACCATACTGAACAGGGGTCAGCAAGTGTCAGTGGGAGGAATAGTGCCCCATCATTGGTGTCACTGATACCAATGAGGGGCATTATTCCTCCCACTGACACCAACGATGGGACACTATTCCCCCCCCCCCACCGACACCAATGATGGGACACTATTCCACCCCCCACTGACACCAATGATGGGGCACGATTCCTCACACTGACACCAATGATGGGGCACTATTCCTCCCACTGACACCAATGATGGGGCACTCCCATTGATGGGACCTCCCACTGACACCAATGATGGGGTGCTATTCCTCCCACTGACACCAATGATGGGACGCTATTCCTCCCACTGACACCAATGATGGGACGCTATTCCTCCCACTGACACCAATGATGGGACGCTATTCCTCCCACTGACACCAATGATGGGGTGCTATTCCTCCCACTGACACCAATGATGGGGTGCTATTCCTCCCACTGACACCAATGATGGGGTGCTATTCCTCCCACTGACACCAATGATGGGGTGCTATTCCTCCCACTGACACCAATGATGGGGTGCTATTCCTCCCACTGACACCAATGATGGGGTGCTATTCCTCCCACTGACACCAATGATGGGGTGCTATTCCTCCCACTGACACCAATGATGGGGTGCTATTCCTCCCACTGACACCAATGATGGGGTGCTATTCCTCCCACTGACACCAATGATGGGACACTATTCCTCCCACTGACACCAATGATGGGGTGCTATTCCTCCCACTGACACCAATGATGGGGTGCTATTCCTCCCACTGACACCAATGACTGGGCACTATTCCTCCCACTGATACTAATGATGGGGCACGATTCTTCCCATTGGTGTGCATTGGAAGAGGGGTAGTCTTATACGGCGAGTATAGCCCAAACACTACATTTTAACAGGAAAAGTAGGGGGGTCGTCTTATACGCCGGAAAATACGGTATGTTGAGGTCAGGAGATTGTGAAGGCCATGGCAAAACCTTCAGTTTACGCCTCTTGATGTAATCCCCCGTGGATTTCGAGGTGTGTTTAGGATCATTATCCATTTGTAGAAGCCATCCTCTCTTTAACTTCAGCTTTTTCACAGATGGCATCAAGTTACCATCCAAAATTTGCTGAAATTTTATTGAATCCATTTTTCCTTCTACTCGTGAGATGTTCCCTGTGCCACTGGCTGGAACAAAACCCCAAAGCATGATTGATCCAACCCCATGCTTAACAGTTGGACAGAGGTTCTTTTCATTAAATTCTGTGCCCCTTCTTCTCCAAATGTACCTTTGCTCATTCCGGCCAAAAAGTTAAATTTTAACCTCATCGGTCCACAGAACTTGTTTCCAAAATGCATCAGCTTGTCTATATGTTCATTTGCAAAGTTCAAACGATGATTTTTGTGGTGAGGACGTAGAAGAGGTTTTCTTCTGATGACTCTTCCATGAAGACTATATTTGTACAAGTCCACAACTCCAGTGTCTGCCAGATCTTTCTGGAGGGATCGTGCAGTCAAACGTGGGTTTTGAATTGTTTTTCTCACAATCCTGCCAGCTGTTCTGTCTGATATTTCTCTTGGTCTTCCAGATCTTGCTTTAACTTCCACTATTCCTGATGACTGCCATTTCTTAATTACATTCCGAACAGAGGATATTGACATCTGAAAACGCTTTGCTATCTTCTTATAGCCTTCTCCAGCTTTGTGAGTGTCAACTATTTTCAGTTTCAGTTTTCTAGACAACTGCTTAGAAGAACCCATGGTGCTGATTGTTGAGGCAAGGTCAGATGAGTCTGGGCATTTAAAACCTTTGAGATTGACATAACCTGGTCTTCCCAGATGATGATTGAGAACAATCCATGACACTGGCAGGTCTCAGCTTTCCAAAGGGGGCAGTGCATGCTATAAATTCTGCAGGGTGCCCAAACTTTTGCAGACACCATTTTTTTGTTTTCTGTTAGTTTGAAAGTGTAAATGATGGAAATAAAATCTAACTTTTGTTGACATATTATAAGAATGTCTAATCTGTAATTTTATGCCTTTTGGAGATTTTTCCATCTTTCCCTGGCTTCTTTATGCACATTAATGCAAATTTTTAGCTGGGGTGCCCAAACTTTCGATCCCCACTGTATGGGGATCAAAAGCTTGTTCACAACAAACTTTCAACAAATATACTAATTAATACTAATTTACATCTTGCATACATGTTATTCCTTTCTATTACTTTTAAAAAATATCTGCTCATTATGTTTTCATTATGCTGATTTTGTATACTGCATGAATTATTCGACATTTTTAAAATATGTCATTTTAGGTCTGTAAAGACATATGATAAAAGTACAAGTGTATGGAGATACCTGTGCACTGATGTCATCACGCCGTAAAAGTCTAATAGCCAGTCGTAGCAGTCCAACCACAGCACGTTCAACAAGGAAGCAGAACTCCATTGCATGAGCGCAAAGATGGTAAAGGTGATCACGCACAACTTGCCATACACAACCAACACGGTCTCTTCATAGTGAAAAAAAAACAAAAAACATGGGAAGCATGTCAGTAAACATAGCTATTAAAATAGCATGTCTGTATAGCCACAGGTTTTATATCCTTCCAACTACAATACATAGTCCGACGTCATGCGGACTATCACAGATATTTTCAAGCGAAGATCTGCTATATCTCCAGTGGTATCAATCTAGAACTTGCCTGCTGTATTTACAATGTGCAGGCCAGAAAAAAAAAATGGCAATAGGCAGTATTTGCAGGAAAGGAGTTTGGAGGTTATGACAACAAGGGCAGTATGTGCAGAAAAGGAGTGCTGCAGGGTATGACAGCAAGCTTCATGTTCAGAGAGGAGTGAAGAGGACAGACAGCGACCAGATTGTGCAGTAAAAAAATGCAGTGTCACAGCAAACAGTGTGGGCAGTAGCAATGTAGACAGTATATCCAGTGTGCAGGAGAGGACTGCAGAGGGTATAGTATGGTAAGTCATGCGAAGGAGAGAAGTGTGGAGGTTATGACATGGCGCAGTATATGTAAAAGAGGAGTGTGGAGGGTATGACAGGAGAATGAATGTGCAGAGGTGTGAAGATGACAGGAGGAGGTATGTACAAGAGTGGTTCAGAAGGGTATTAAAAGAACAGTTTGTCTTTGACTCTCAAATGTTGGTTATTGATCTTTCCATACTTAGGAACAAAATGATTTTTGTGTCTCATGAATACATTTGTTAGCTTTAAAGCTGTTTAGAGGTTGAGAGGCAAAGTGCAAACACTGACACCAAAGGCACAGGATCTTTTTAAACATTAAAAAAAATATATAAAAGACTTCACAGAAAAGAACACCCCCCATACTGTACAAAAAAAGCTGGGATGCTGTGTAAAATCTACAAGAAAAACAGAACACAATATCTGCAAATCTTGTTAACCCATTATGTTATTCACAATAAACTTATCAAATGTTTAAATTGAGAAAATGTACCATTTTAAGACAAAAACGAAGGTCATTTTTAAATTGATGGCAGCAACAGGTTTCAAAAAATTTGACACAGGGCAACAAAAAGCGGATAGTGGTACTAACAAGAAAGGAACATTTTGCAACCACAAAAGGTTAATTGGCAACAGGGCAGTAACATGATTGGGTATTAAAAGAGCATCTTAGTGTCTAAGAAGTAAAGATGGGCAGAGGCTCACCAATCTGTGAAAAACTGCACAAAAAAAAAAATGGTCGAACAATATCAGAATAATGCTCCTCCACGTAAAATTGCAAACACAAAAAATGTCATCACCCACAGTACATAATATCAAAAGATTCTGAGAATCTGGAGAAATCTCTGTACACAAGGGACAACACCAAAACGCAATATTGGATGCTCAAGATCTTTGTGCCCTCAGACAGCACTGCATTAAAATATAGGCATGATTCTATAACAGACATCACTAAATGGGCTCATGAATACTTCCAAAAATTTGCCGTGCCATCCAAAAATGCAAGGTAAAGCTCTATCATGCAAAGAAGAAGCCATTTCTGAACATGATCCAGAAATGACGGCCCTGTCCCAACCTTTTTGAGATATGTTGCTGCCAACAATTTTAAAAAATACCTTATTTTTTTGTTAAAATGGTACATTTTCTCAGTTTAAATATTTCATAAGTTTTCCATTTTCTATTATGGGTAAAATATGGGTTTATGAGATTTGCAAATCATTGAATTCGGTTTTTATGTAGATTTTACACAAGATTGTACTACATGCCTGCAAATAATTATATGCCTAGCTAAACCATGACTTTTACATAGCACCTGTTTTCTAGAATAATTCTCAGCAACATCTCCAGGCAGAAAGCAGCATCTTCTTCATCATATGTTTCTTCATCTGGAGTCACAGATATCAAAGCCTGAATAAAAAGAAACACATTCCTGTGTAGAAATACAGTAGACACAGGTAGTGCACACACACGCTACATCACAAAACCTTTTCATTTTGTTTTTTGAGAAATACTTTTGTGTCATCGGTTTCACAGACAAACTGCCCAAACACTGAGAAGGAGCAAACACATTCACATTTCTGATCATCCCTGATCATGCATATGAATAGGAGCAAGCTTCACAAAACTTAACCAAGCTGACGAACTGTGAAGAACCACCTCAGTGTGAGACAAACAAATATCGAAAAAAGCAATCTCTTGAGCAGGTTCATGTTAAGTGAAAACCTGGACAAAATCATCAATCAAGGGGTGGGTGTGACAATGCTTTTTGGGATTTTAATGGATCTTCAGGGCTAGATCTGTTTTTTTTTTTTTTTTTTTTTTTTTTACAAATTTATAATGGTAGGTTACTTGGAATCACAGGGAACAGGGGTTGCAAATAAACAGTACAACTGTTGCATAGATTTTGGTAAATGAGCTGCAGCCTAATTTGCATCTAATTATTTCACTCATTTGTTTGATAATTGACCACTTCTGCAATGACTGATAATGTAGATAGCCTACAGTACACATCTGTACAGGCAACACACGTGTACTGGTAATTGTACAGCACACAGAAAACCGTACAGGATAAAAACAGTACTAAACCTAAAAACAAACTGTATATATTGAAGCTTACTAATGCTTAAAGTGGTTACACGTGCCATATGCCCATATAAAGTGTATTTGCCTCAATCCAGTGCACCTAGTGTGGATATTTGCTGCTCTCGCCTTCCCCTACATCTGTCTCCAAGCAATCAATGGTGACCCCCACCCCCCCCAACACATAACAGGTGATTGACAGGTTCAGATATGCATGTTTCCCAGTGAGCCTGTGTATGGGGGCGAGATGTCTATTCTCTCTACTCAAATTACATTCACTTCTCTTCTGTGCAGTGTGTGATGTCAGCTCCCTGACTTCTGGAAGCTGAGATATACCGTCTGATCTTCATACTTTGAAATGGTTTGTAGGAGGCAGGGCTGCAGATAAACAGTTACAGCATATGTAAGAGGATATACTTCATTCACTCTGTATCTGTGAGGCTAGTCACTTAGATGGGCTCATGTAAGGGTTTATTAATACCTTTAAATGTGGTGGCTGCATTGGTATTCTTTTTTAGGCTTTTTTCCTATATTTTCACCTAGTGATCCAACCAATAACACACATTCTCGGTTTTAAGATGTCCATAGACGTATTGAAATTTGTCCGGTTCAGCAGGAACTGGATAAATTTCAATCCATCCATGGGCAAGCCGGTTTTACTGGAGTCGATCAATTGACTTCAGTACAACCGGCCTGTCAGGCTTTTTCCCCCCCATACGATCACTGTCACTGGCTATAACCTTCAACAGTGATCATTGTATTCTGACAGCAGGGAAAACTCCCACTGTCAGAATACAATAGTGCAGTGGAGGGATTCCACCCATCAACACTGACTGTGTTGATGGCAAAATGGAGCAATTTTCTTTCCTTCAACCATGTTGCATACTGTATAGCTAGACGTAAGGTGGATCCACTCTGGATGGAGGCACAACGGAGACACCTTTGAACAGCAGAACTGACAACCTGTGGAGCGGGTAGTGTTAGATTCACTAGCAGATTTAGATGGACTTGACTAGCAAATTAAAGCTGAACTTTTGATTTGATCACCAGGTGAAAGTAAAATAAAAAATAGCCTAAGGCTATTTTCACATTGCTATGTTGCAAAAACACGGTAAAAAAAACACACATGCATTTCTTTAATGACAAATCACAGGTCAGTTAGGTCCCACAATGTCTCACCTGCCCTTCATTGAGGCGAACAGAGGATTGTGTAGGAAAATTTTTATCAAAAACTTCATTACATTTGCTTATATGATGCCATAATTTGAATGAAACATGTTGTGGAATGCATCCTTAGCTTACATTAATCATCCCCCTCAAAGACAGGTATACTGTTGACTAGTGGCACTTCTGTGCTCTGATCCCAGAAAAGTTAAAGCAGTTAATGATCAGGAGATGTTTTAAAGTGTTAACAGAGGCTTCAGGAATGTGCCAATGTAAATCTTTACCTACCTTCATTAATTCTTGCAAGGATTCCAGCTGGAGAAATTTGCTCTCTGTAATGAGTTTCTCTGGATCACATAACTATGGCAAAAAAAAGGTTGCAAAAGTAGAAAAATGCATAATCAGTAAGACCACAGTTATATTTGCAAGCTAGTTCTTTAACGGTTTTTCTACCATGGAATGGTTAACAACGATGAAGTGGTGGAATGTTAAAGAAGAACTCCGTGATAGGGAAAAAAAAAAATCACCCACTAGTACACACCCTTACACAAAACACTAAACCGTTAGACTTTTTTCCTAAATGGTAAGAGTGTTCAAAATGTTAATTGAATTTTCATGACCTTATCTCTGTAATTCAAAAGATAACAGCATCTTCTCTGCCAAGGAGGAGGTGTAACAGCAGGAAATACATCATATCCCTCTACACTCTCTCTGCAGTAAAACTACAGCTCCCAACAACCACAAGGAATTGTAGTGAATGTGGGCGGGTACACAAGGCCTGTTCATGTTGAATGTGTTAGAGTCTAAGTCCGCCCACCACTGCAAGAGGGGCTGAATTCCATTGCTACTTCCTGGAGAAAGAACTACAGATGTGCCAAGACCAGTGGCTGGGGGAATAGGAGGCACAGTAGTCATTGGTTTTACAAACAGGAAACCAAAAAGAACTAACGGTTTGATTTGAAAATGAACAGGCTATTTCAGAACAACTACTGAGTGAACCAGTAGATGGATGACATTCAGTCAAGGTAGAAAGTCAGCAAAAAGGACATGTAAAGAAGTTATTGCCCACAGTTCTGCTTTAAATAACCTAGCGTCATTTTTGGGCATGACTGGATGAAGCGATGTCGGGCAGCTGTTATCGGATGGCACTCAGTTCACAGACACAATGTACTGAGCTGATCCAAGTAGCTCTGTACCATTTTTGATCACTGATGATCAACTACAGTGATCACAAATGGAAATGTAGAAAAAATTAATATACTGTTGATCCATCTCCTTCCTGTTTCAATAGAGAAAGGAGAAGAACTGTAATAATTGTTGAACGGAAAATGAATTAATAAATCATCAGCAGCTAATTTATTGTGAGGAAATCTTCACTGACTGGGGGAACTTTTTTTTTTTTACCCTTTAAACTCCCCTCCTTCTCCTGTACATCTGATCTTTAGCTTGTGTCTGAGTATGAACTGTATATTAACCCCTTTACCTCTTCATCTTTATCCTACTGCTGTATATGGCCTGTACATTTAATATATCTAATGCGCTATTACCAATATTCATGTTTCAACCCATTCAATAGCAGCATGTTTCTTCATTTGCAATAGCTTATGGCGAAAAATTAGATCACCTGTCTACTATCCAAAAAAAGGTAATTTTGGAGGTTTTTGAACAGTCCTGTTTCATTTCCGAAAATAAGAAAAACAGTGTTCATTTCAAAATCTTTGGCCTTTTTATAGTAAAACAAACACCCTGCTGCAATTAAAGACCATTTATAGAAAGCTCCATCTGTCTCAAAAAATAAAATACATTTGGATACAGTGTTGCATAAGTGAGTAAAGCACCCCATAGTTTATCCATTTGGGCTCTGGAAGGTTTTACCCTCTTCATGACCAAGCCATTTTTTGTTATTTAGCACTGTACTACTTTAACTGGTAATTATGGTGGATATAGAAAAAGTCTACACACCCCTGTTAAAATGTCAGGTTTCTGTGATGTAAAAAAATGAGACAAAGATAAATCATTTCAGAACTTTTTCCAACTTTAATGTGACCTATAAACTGAACAACTCAATTGAAAAACAAACTGAATTCTTTTTTTTTTTTTTTTTTTTTTTTTAAGAGGGGGAATGGGGAGTAAACATAAAAAACTAAAACAATGTGGTTGCATAAGTGTGCACACCCTCTTATAACTGGGGATGTATGTTTAGAATTCAGCAATCACATTCAAAATCATGTATAAATAGGAGTCAGTACACATTTACCATCATTTAAAGTGCAAAAACCATGGTATGCAGACAGCTTCCAAACCATCAGAGGGATCTCATTCATCAGAAGAAGGGTACAAAAGAATTTCCAAGGCATTAGATATACCATGGAACACAGTGAAGACAGTCATCATCAAGAGGAGAAAATATGGCGCAAACAGTGACATTACCAAAAACTGGACGTCCCTCCAAAATTGATGAAAAGACGAGAAGAAAACTGGTCTGGGAGGCTGCCAAGAGCCCTACAGAAACATTAAAGGAGCTGCAGGAATATCTGGCAAGAATACTGGCTGTGTGGTACATGTGACAACAATCTCCGTATTCTTCATATGTTTGGGCTATCGGGTAGAGTGGCAAGACGGAAGACTTTTCTTATGAAGAAAAACATCCAAGCCAGTCTAAATTTTGCAAAAACACATCTGAAGTCTCCCAGAAGCATGTGGGAAAATGTGTTTTGGTCTGATGAAACCAAGGTTGAACTTTTTGGCCATAATTCCAAAAGATACGTTTGGCGCAAAAACAACACCACCTCACCAAAAGAACACCATACCCACAGTGAAGCATGGTGGTGGCAGCATCATGCTTTGGGGCTGTTTTTCTTGAGCTGGAACTTGGGCCTTAGTCAAGGTAGCGGGAATATATGAACAGTTCAAAATACCAGTCAATATTGGTACAAAACCTTCAGGCTTCTGCTAGAAAGCTAAACATGAAGAGGAACTTCATCTTTCAGCATGACAACGACCCAAAGCATACATCCAAATCAACAAAGGAGTGACTTCACTAGAAGATTAAAGTTTTGGAATGGCCCAGCCAGAGCCCAGACCTGAATCCGATCGAACATCTGTGGGGTGATCTGAAGAGGGAAGAGGAGATGCACTCACAATCTGACAGATCTGGAGTGTTTTTGCAAGGAAGAGTGAGCAAATATTGCCAAGTCAAGATGTGCCATGATGATAGACTCATACCCAAAAAGACTGAGTGCTGTAATAAAATCAAATGCTGCTTCAACAAATAATTAGGGTGTGCACACTTATGCAACCATATTTTAGTTTTTTTTATTTTCTTCCCTACTTCCCTCCACCTAAAAGATTTCAGTTTGTGGTTCAACTGAGTTGTACAGTTTATAGGTTTCATTAAAGGTGGAAGAAGTTCTGAAATGATTTATCTTTGTCTCATTTTTTTACATCACAGAAACCTGACATTTTAAGAGGGCCATTGAGTCCACCCACTGCCATCAATCACAAGGTAGGAAGACTTCATGGGGAACTAGTCAAACATCCACATTAGACTCCACCCCTGTCAAAATTCAGCTCTGCTTCACTGGGTGCTAGGATGCTGTGGCCTGTTTACCATCAACCAACGAATTTGGCTGGCCTGCCTCTATGAATTAAATTACCACAAACTGGCAGCAATTCTTTATGAATTTGTAGAAGCCAGATCTACATAATGTGAAAGTTGCACACACACACACACACACATACCAAAAAAAAAAAAAAAAAAAAGAAAAAAAAAAAAGAAGAACTACCTACATCTTTTGTACATGTTGGAACAGTTAAAGAAAACTGACGCAACCCATTTATGAATTATGTGCAGGACTTTCTAATGAGCCTGTATTGCCAAAAAGTGTCACAAACACTTTACTGAACTGCCCTCATCATGTGCGTATATGACCCACCTTTATACACTCCAATGCTAGTTTCTTCGATTCTTGGTTTTCAGTAGGTCCTCTCAGACTTGACTGCTCAGTGGCACTCAGGGTTAGCCAGCTGACAAAACTCAGGACAGATGACTCCCCACTAAAAAAAAAAAAAAAAAAAGTTGAACTCAAGCACACTTTTAAAAGAGCACTATGGTTCTGACAAACATTACTAACTGCACTACTGTTTATAAATGTCCATAGACATTAGAGAAAGGTTGGATTTGCAAGCATAGTCTGATTACTCTAGGTTTGCTGGTAGGTTAAAACAAGTAAGGGATAGGAAAATAAGAATGCTACCCTTTGCTGAAAAGGCTTGCTGCCTGGCTCTCAATCATACAAATACTTTTATATATTTTACTCACTGACTCAGACAGATATATAGACCAGGAGTCAGAGAAAAATCAGAAATCCTTATCTGAACACTTATTTCAGGTCTGTAACTCAAAATATTGCTCCTTTTGGATCAGAACAGTCAGCTAACTTTAATGTTTAAAAGATAAAGTGTCTACAATGGCAGCCTCCATGTTTCTCTTATAACAGGTTTACATTAAACTATGCAGAAGGGAGGGAAGGCATTCACAGACCTTTCAGTGCCAGATTAGAGGAAAACAATTAAACAAGAATTTTTTTTTATAGCAGCTTCCCAGCTGGCAGTATGTGCTGCTTGAAATCATTGCCCAACTCAGACAATAACAGCCTGATTAGGCATTTTTCATCTAAATTTTGATGCTACCTTAATTTAGTAGAACAATGCAGAAAATATATTCATTATGCCTACTTAGAAATAGTGTGATTTCTGTACTCACCATAAAATCCTTTTTTGGACTCCAAAGAGCGGCACAGGAAGTCTAAAACATTAAGTTGATACTACTGCCTACATGAGGATTGGACAGTGGCAAACAAAGACTGTAGGGCCAGATAACCTCTCCTACTACTATAGCATGCCTCAGTTTTGTAGCAAATCCCTAAACAGAGGATGATCATAAACAGAAGGCGATACTCATGTCCCACAATGGACACCAAAAAAATACATCTTTGCAGCAGGTACAAATTCCTATTTACTTTGTTATCCACAGGAAGACACAGGATGCCTTAAAGCGACCTTAAAGCTTTGGGTTTTTTTTTTTTTTTTTTAATTAAAAATAGCAAACATGGTATTACTTATCTGCTCTGTGCAATGGTTTTGCACACAGCAGCCCCAATCCTCTTCTTCTGGGGTTCCCCATCGGCACTCCTGGCCACTCCTCTTCGGTGAGTGCCTCCATGGAAAGCCGCTTTCCATGGGGGACACGTGTGGGCTTGCTCCCGAGCCAGCCTGTCTGCGTCCATTGACACAGAGCGGGCAGCTCGGCCCTGTCCCCCACTTCCTCAGCACAGCTGCTATCAAGCTGCCCAGGGAGGAAGAAAACCACGGAGAGAGATGCCACTCTTACGCACATCGCTGAATCGGATCGGGATCAGGGAAGAATAAGGGGGGGCGGGTTGTGCAGCACAGGTGGTTTTTCACCTTAATGCATAGATTGCATTAATGTGAAAAACCTAATGGCTTTAGAACCACTTTAAATCTTCAGGATGTCTAAAGAAATTAAAACTGAGGGGGGGGGGGGGGGGGGGAGAGAAAACAAAATATCACAAATAGGACCAATAAAAAACAAAGCTGGGGATTGCCCGCGGCTCAAAGAGCAGTCTGAAGGTGGCATCAGATGAGGGAGAAACATCCATGTGGTAGAACATGAAGACTAGGTGGCCACCTTGCAGTTCTGGGAAACAGTTGCTTGATGCCAAAAAGCCCTCACAAATGTAGTAGAGTACACCTTGACAGGAAAGGGGGAAAACCTCATCCCTGAGACCATAAGTCTGGAAGATGGTTTTCCTGAGACACCTATAAATGGTGGAGCAAGAAACCGCTACGCACCCATACCTGGTCCATCTGGGATGACAAAAGGGGAGTCTATTTTTTCTGGGGGGGAAAAAAAAAAAAAAACAGTGATTGAGAGAGTCTTACAGCCCAAATCACATCCAGACAAGGGAGGGAAATTTCCTTTTAACAAATTGCACTTGAACAGTGGGATGGAAAAACTATATCTAGGTTGAGGTGAAAAAGAGAAAACATCTCAGCCAAGAAGGAAGTCCTGGGCCTCAACACCACACTGTCACTATGAAAAACCTAAAAAGGCTCCTTTCCGGATAAGGCCGCCAGTTAAGACACTTGCAATGCAGAGTAGGTGGCTACAAGGATAACTACCTTATGGGTGAAAGTACAAAGAATAATGTCCCTTATGGGTTCATGCAACAGTTTCTGAAGCACCGTTTTCCAGATGCAGATCCCACAGGGTCCCAGGTAAACTAAGAGGGGGAATGGGGAAATTCTTGCTATTAAAACTTCTACATTGTGCAATACAATGACATCATCCTCCTGAATGGGCCACCAACTTCCTTGTCTTGATTCTAACATTGTACGGTCTGTTCATCCACTCTGTGAATTATCTTGTGGGAAATTGTGTGATACTGAGCCCAACTGTGTTTCAGTGTCACTCTGCCTCTAATAGACTTCAATGTAGAATTGTATTGGAAAATGCATAGTATGGATGTGGCTCAATTAGTCTTTGTCAGTGATATGTGTAGATGAGTCTTTTTTAAGACTTCTTCCATTGCTTTGGAATACCCTGTGTATATTGTACAATGGTTAAAGAAGACCAAAAAAAAAAAGCCAAAAAAAAAAAAAAAAAACAGGGACAAGCAGCAGCATGGCAAATTGGTCCTAGGGACAGAAGATAATGATGATCTGGCAGAACCTACGGAGCAACTTGTCAGGGATATAACTAGGTTGGTGTACCACATCCACCTGGGACCAGAGCAAACATGATTACAAGAATGCCCTCCATCTTGATCCTGCCAGGTGGACAAGGAAGACGTTTCAGATATGGACAGGCATATAGATCAGGATATACTAATCCAATGCTTCCATTAGCAGAACCCTTTACATGGAGACAAACCTATTTAGTTTGTTTTTGAACTGGAGGTTTGGATCAGATAAGCCTTCAATAACATGGCCAATGCTGCAGAGACAGCCAAATCATCTGAAGCTCCATATATTGATCAGGAGATTCCTCCAACAACCAAGTTCCCAGTACAGACAGGGAGCCAAGGACTGGAAACTTTTGTAAGGAACTTCCAAAAGAATGCAAAACTTCTGACTCCAGAGACAGATTCCTAAAGGCACCAAAGCTAGGAACACAAGAAGGTTAAATAAACAAGAGGGGGCAGGGAACAAAACATTTGTTTGTAGCTCTGTACTCAACTGTCTGAGATGCAAGCTGTCCTGGTGTCCGAAAAAGTTAACAAATGTCTCTGCACTCTAAGAGTGAGAAAGGGGTGCACCTTCATGCCAAGGTAGACTTGTTTGAGGATTTTGAAGACTTAAGAGTGCCAGACCATGCGACTGGATGGGAAGCAATGCTTGGGTGAAGTATTCATGCGGTGGTCAAGGGGGTGGAAAAACAAAAGGAATGTTTAACCATCAGAGAGGAAGACAACTTCACAGTGTGTCCCTTTTTCTTTCACTGAAGATGGGTAGTCTTGTCATTAGTAGCAGCCAGTCAATAAGAGGTGGTCTGATGAGACATCCTTCGAAGAACAATCAAATCAAACTCTTTTTGCACAAAGGTTCTGCAATCCAACACTTTAGCTAAGTGTACTGACAGCAACAAATGAGAAGGAAGCTTTCAGCAAACTCTCACAACTGTAGTTTAATTCTACAGCCATCTACTCCATGCATTTATTGTGCAAGGGATCAACCAAAGCAGTGGTTACATCTCTTAAGGGATTTTGACCAATCAGACATGGTTTGGAAAGTAAAGTTACACCTCCAATGCAGTCCAGCAGGACACAGGTCTGGACACAGTACTCCAAAATCTAGGAGATCAACCCCACCAAATATCTGCAATTAAAAAAAGCCAAGCTCCAGCAGTGGTTTAGAGAATGGTCTCTCTGATGCAAAAAAAAGGAAAAGAAAAAAAAAATACATTCATTTATCGCATAGATTTACATGTCTGCTGTCTAACACAGCAGATGTGTCAGCCTCCTACCAAAAAACAAAAGGCATGTTGGTAGTAGGAGTGGTTATCCTGGGCTGGCCTACAGCTTTCATGCCGCTGGAGAAGTTTTCAGAAACACTAGCTGTCACAATTTCAGACATATTAGATTAGGTCATTAGAAAACACAGAAGAACACCACCTCAAGATGAACTGCAATACAGACTAACCAGAGGATGGAGCTCTCATATCAGTGTTCCCAAACAAATAAGGTACCAGCTGAATTATCAATACTGGGGGCACCAACGCTTTAAAAATATAAAAAAGTTAAAAAATATAAAAAGTTAATGTCGTCTTATAAGTACATCTTACATCTTAAAGTGTTACTAAACCCAGGACCCTGCATTTACTATATCTGTTCTCCCACAGTACACAGAACATGGAAATGCAATTATTTTAGTAAATATAAACTGCTAAACACCTTTTCTCATAGCAGTTAGAGCAGGCTTGTGACTTCTATCAGTGTCCAGCAGAGCACATGTTATGGCTTGTAGAAGTTTTCATTTTGCTCTAGGAGGATGCAGGACCCCTGACCTCTGTCTGGACAGTGCTGATTGGCACTGTGCTGATCACATGCAGTCTCCCAAGAAAAAGAAAAAAACCTCTATAGCAATACACAAACTGAGCATGTGCAGAGCGACTCCACATGATATGTCTGATCAGGCGATAAGAAGGGGACACTGGAAGAAGGGGAGGATCAGAGAAGTCAGGATCAAACAGCATTTTTACACAATGCAGAAGATTAACCCCTTAGGTTCCACAGTAAAGCATGCTTTACTGCATATACAGACTGATTTTACTGTTGTGGGTTTAGTAACACTTTAATGCAACTCTACACCTTCTGCAAAAATATCCCACTCACCGATTTGCAGGGATTTCTTCCCGCTGAAGAGAAATTTTGCCGTTTGGATCAACAAAGTCTTCAACCTGAAAAGGTTTACAAGTCAATTAATTATAATTGACCTAGGGTTTTCTTTTCTTGATACATCATTTTCAATTTGCAAAGCTAATCACAGAAAAACAATAGAAGCTTTAACTCAAGAAACTTACTTCAACCATAGCCTTTGGCAGCAGCTCGGCTCGGAAGAGTTGCAACATGGAGTCCATGATATTTTTCCAGCCCTCACGCAAAATATCTCCATGTCTGTGTGCTAGGTGGAAAACAGTTTTGGCAGCTATCTGGGCCTTTGGGTTGCTTCCAAAAACAGTAGGAAGATTCTCTACAGCCTAAGCCAAAATGTAAAAACATATTTTAATGGTTGAATATGCCAGCATTTATGTACAATATATTGCTTATTCAGTAAAGCCTACAAAAAAAAATTAAAAAAATTAAAAAAAAAAAGAATCATAAGAAATATTGTTGAATACAGTGTAACATCTTTGCTCTTCATGATCAGAACTCTTATGGTCCTATTGAGTTGAACGAAGGCATTTACGGCACACTGTGATAAACAGCAAAGACAAATAACTGAATGTGCACATACACATGGTAGAAGAGCTGTAGCAGTTCATCAAAATAGGCAATAACTTTTAGGATCAAATATATGGCAGCATATATGCCAACCGCGTGAGTATATTAAAGAAACTGTACAAGCAAAAATCATAGTTCAGATTTTGTTCAATGTTGGAGAGTTATGATTACTAGGACTCTGGTGGTAAAATTTCTGAATCGGAGTATCCAAGCCAACACACAATGTCACTCTACCCATTAGATTTTTTGTTCATTTTTTTCTTATGGAGTATGCAAAAGGAGAAGTGAAAACACAACGCTAAATGGAAACCTATAGAATGTATAGGCAGGCGGCATACAGACTGTACAAACAAAAGAAGAGACTGCCCAGAATAGCACATTATCCCAAAAAACATTTATTAAGATGTAAATAAATTCATACTCACAAACAATATTCAAGCTCTGAGGAAGAGGGTTACCCTCAAAACGCGTCAGATTTGCCTTTATCCCTAGACAGCACCTTTCAGGCATTTAGGTTCCTTTGGGTTCTACTGCAGAATGCACCAAGCGACTGCTACCTGTTATGCGCTGTCACAAATAGTTTGAGAGTACGATTTGTGTTTGCATTTTGATAAAAGTTTTTGGGGATAATGCGCTAGGCCGGTACGGTCTCTTCTTTTGTTTATACAGTCATATTTGGACTACCAAAATAGTTCGTGAGAGCAGCATGGGTTGGTCTATCCGTTGGTCCATATATACATGGAGAACTTTACACAGGAATACCAGTCCTCAACACTCATGCACAGGAGATTGTCTGACATTTTCAAGGCGGCATACAGAGCCAGGAGCTACAGCAGGAAGCTCTCACCTCAGTCGACACAAGGCAGGAGATAATGCATTCCACTAGGCTCACTCTAACTGAAATACCACCACTAAGTGTACTAATCCCAAAGTAGTCAAAAGCAAGCCAATGTAACATTTTTAAAACCTCACCTCACTACTAAGAGTTGTAAACTTGCACAGGGAAATGATGAGGTTGTCAAAAACATCACTTAATCCATAGTGAGCAGATATCATTGCACATTTCCTAAAATTAAAACAAAATTAAGTCAGTGACAGGCATACAAAACAGTTATAACCCACCCCTTCCTTCACAGGGAGGAGCAAGAAAACATTTGTTTAAGATCAATGCATCCTGTTCCCAAATACACTGAAAATACCCAACTATTATAACTTTATCATTGGGCACCATGCTCTGGAAGTACACTATACACAGAACCAAGTACAGTGTTGTAATTAATAAAACTGCTGAAGTACCACTTTAACAAAGATCTTCTTGTATGGATGAGTAAACTCTCTATTAGCTGAATTCAATAAAAAGTAATGAAGAAGCCCTGCAATCCCAAAAGACAGCCCAAATAATTTGTGCAAATGGCTCTGGCAGTATGCAAACTATGACTTAAGAAAACCTAACAATAAGCTCTATGTTACCAGGTAATTTCTCTTGCAACCTTACAACTGAAGTACAAGAGAATAATTACTTTAAAATCTGCCTGTAGTGACTGATGTGCCTCAATAATGTTCCACTAATAAAAAAAACATAAAAGGCATGGTATACATGATGCTAGGGTGTAAAGCACACAGACAGCAATAAATTCCCCCCTATCCAAAACAAAACAGTTACCTGTTCCTATGGCAGTAGGATCACTAAAAATGGTTTAGCATGCACTTTTTTTCTTTTTATAAGCAAATGATTACCTAAATCCAGAAATGGCTTTCTGGATAATGGTCTCTTCCATGCTCTTGTCAAATACATAAGAGAGTGCAGCAATAGTTGGACCCCAAGTCATTGTGAAGAGATCATGATCATAGCTTCCTGGAGTAACATGCAGGAAGGCTCCCTCTGGGGTGGCACCTCGGTGCAGCAGTACACTCCACATGTAGTTCTCCTTTACTAGTCCAGTCTGCTCTTCTGGCATAACTATTTCCTCATTTCTAGAGAAAAGAAAATACAAATCGTAGCCAGTTAAGCATGTAATATAGGTCATATATTTGACAATTGTAAATTTTTCTTACACTAGTATTACATTTTTCTAACATTAGTATATTAACCGAAAACATTTAACTTTGCAAGCATCTAATTACAGTGGGGAACTGACCATTGGCTAAAACACTGTTTGTCACAGATGTGGCAATCTATTGATTTCTTTTGTTCTGCCTGCAGGCTGAACAAGAGAAATTTGACAATGGTATTAAACCTAAAAATAAAAAAATATTGCAGCTTACCAGTCCTTCGATGTGGTGACTGCATTCGATTTTTTTTGTAGGCCTTTTTCCCCATTATTTCACCGGGTGATCAGGCCAGTAACATGTTCAGTCTTAGGGTGTCAGCAATCTGGATCAAGTAGTAAAGCATAAAACTTGGACTGCAGCATTGTCAGTCTGGGGAGAGGGTAGCAGACTAGGAGATAAAGATATCGAAAGATAGGGGGTGCTCAACCTTTTGAAGAGCAAGAGCCACTCAAGTGATTTGGTAACAAGTCGTGGGCTGAAATAAAATGAAATGGTTCAGAATTTTTAATTTTTTATTTTGAATAGCATAATGAACATTTTCCTCCTGCAGCCACTGAATGCTTGCAGGAGGGAGAGGAGGAGAAACTGGCTTTCAGCAGTTGCAAGAGGAAAACGGAGAGGATCAGTTCTTGTATATGCCCCCCCCCCCCCCCCCCCACTGCCCCTCCTGTCCAAGTGTAAAATAGAATGTGACAGGAAGGACACAAGGGCCCACTGGAGCATTAGGCAGGGTTGCCATTGTGACCCCTGATACTACACCAGTGGTTGGGGTGGTGTGGTAAATACACTCAAATATGGATTTTACCACCCCACAAATGGATAGTGGTGCACCGAAATGAAAATTCTGGGGCCAAAACTGAAAATTCAAGATGCACTTGGCCAAAAACCAAAATTGAAATGTCAGCGTATGGGGGGGTGGGAAGGCTCAAATTTTTTTTTTTTTTTGGGGGGGGGGGGTTTTAATGTGTGTTTTTATTCATTTATCTTATGATTTTATTGCTATCACATAGGGGACCAGTAGTCCCCTATGTGATAGTATATAAGTGACAGGTACTCTTTTTAGGGAGGAGCAGTGTGTGCAAGAAGGGGACAGGATATTAGCAGTGTACACAGTGAGGGAGCAGTGTATACAGACCGGCTCCTTCACTTGCCACTGCTAACTTTCATTGCCGGGTCAACCCTCTAACTGCCACTTTGTCTGGACAGTTTGGTCTGCTAATATAAGTTGAAAAACAACAGATTTTACTGGGCTGGATCACCAACTGAAAAGAAAAAAAAGCCTAAATACACAAAAAAAAAACCCACACAGTTCAGCCACCACATTTAAGGCTTGGTAAGCTGCAATTTAATAAACATTTACTTTTTGAGGTTTAATACTGCTTTAACTTGTACAGCTAGCCTTAAGCAGAGCTTGCAATTTTTTTTGTAACTTTTTCAATATCATGTCTGTTTTGTTAAGTTATAAAAACAAAGTTCCAGTTCACAATGATGCGGTGCAGAAAACCGCATGTGATTCGGAACAGGAATCGCACTGTATTCCTGGTCAAATCACATACGATTCTTTGTGGTGCGATTTGAGCCCATTCATTTTGTATGGCTCAAATCACACTGCACGCACACGAGAAAGGTGAATGCACCTTTTTTTTGACCACACTGGAATCGGATTGAACTTTTGATTAGTGAGGGAAATACACAGGAATTGCTGTAAATCCCGCACCACGTAAGTGTGAACTGGGACTAAATGCGATTATACAGTGTACCATCTCCTTTAGATCTACCATCAATTATGTACTGCAAGGGCCTGCCTGAATTGATACAAATTGAATTGATCATTTCGGTTTTTAACCTTAACCTTTAAAGGAGACTGTACAATCAGATTGTATGGTGAGCTTAATGTAGCACAGCCATTTTTCGATGAGTAATAGCAACATGAATTGTTTCGAAAGACAGTAGCGGCAGATCAACAATTTCATTCTCACACCAGGCTTAGTAAGCTTGTGCTAAAGTGCAGAAGTGTGTGTATCACCCACAAGACATTCCGAGACTGACCTCCTTTAAGCTTCTAGCATGAAAAGGAGAAATGAAAGCAAAGTAGTGCCAGAGATCACATCCTGTCTCCTGAGCATGGTAATCCCCAGATCTTTGAAGTCTGCAGTGTTGGATTTACTGAGCAGACTGGATTTCTGAGCAGTTCTTAAGCTCTAACTGCCTTTAAAACAGCTGCGAGCATTAAAGGCAGCCCAGCATCTTAACAGCTAGACAAGGTACAGTTACGACAGCACAACACTAACAGAAACCTGATCAACTGCTTATGCAGCCTGCAAAGTCAACTGAAAAAGGAAATAAACAGAATATCAAATATTATAAGAAGCTAGCGATATCCTGAGGTTCGGCTTTAAGTGGCACCATTCTTTCACAATTGGCAACAAAAGTAACAAACTTTTTTTTGTTTTTTTAATTTTTAACTTTTGCATTTCCATCTGCAAACAAAGGTACACTACCACACGACAAAATTCAAAACAGTTTAACGGTCAATTTCTACAGGATATAACTTGCTGACAATTGTAGTGACTTTGTGATAAATAATACAGCATCATAAATCATTTCAAATATCCTGAGGGAACCCAAAGCAACCTTACCTTTAATCCTATAAATGTCTAATGTTCTAATTATTAAGAGAGACAACAATTTATACAATGTATTACACTGTACGTTTACATCAGTCCCTGCCCTCAAGGAGCTTACAGTCTAAGGTCCCCACCTCAAAAGCATAGATAAACACATTGGCAAATGTATACAGGAGCCAATTAACCTCCCAGCATGTTTTTGGAGTGTGAGAGGAAATAGAAATACCTAGAGTAGTTGTGAGGGAATGTAGTTCAGAGGACAGGTGGCCAGGTAGGCATCTGAGGAAAATTTAGCAAGCTCCTCTGCACTGACAGGGTCAAAACAGGACAGTGTTAAATGTGGTGGTAGAGATGATATGGTAAAACACAATTAAACTCCCAAAAATGTATTTTCAATAAATGGCCCCCCAGGAACTGTTAGCCATAGTGTGTTTGTATGCACAGCATATTAGCACATTATGGCAGACTTACCTGTAAATGATCCTCTCCAGCGCTGTGCTGTCAGAGCTCCCGCTGGTCACAGGCGCCGCCATCTTCTCCTGGTCTTCCTTCTGGATTCCAGCTGTTCGGCCACTTGATTGGCCGTGATTGCCTCACCGCACAGAGCCATGTCAAGAATGTATGCTGAGCTAAGCACGCACGGTTCATAGTACATAAACCTTGAGAGGCCCAGTAGAAGCAGTTATGACAGAAGAAAATAGGGTCTCTTCTAGCATTAAAATCTTACCGGTCAGTGTTAATTTTTAGGTTCAATTCCACTTTAATTAGGGGATATTACTGAACAGGTGAAATCTCATCACAATATGTATCTATCATGTTTTTGAAATGACTAGTAATGTCCTGGGCAGTGAATGAGTTAGTGGGCAGGGGCATTGGAAGATGAAGTAGAAAGTTTGGCAGAAAAAAAAAACAAAAAAAAAAACTGTCAAAAACTGAACAAGTGGGAGATAGTGGGAAGATAAAATAGGTTTGTTTGGCAGCATGGAGAGAGGTATTCTATTTTTGGAGGGCAGCTTTATACAGGGCAAACAGCAACCAGCATTCAACTCTTTAGCTAATGGGAAGAGCGACTTTCTGTATTTTCTTCCAGACAGGAAGGTGAGATTGTAAAGAATCACTTATGGATTGTTTCCCTAAGCAGCTGGCTGCCAGCTTGTAAATAATCAAGACGACTGTTTGCCAAAATGAGTCTGATATAGGGCATTACAAGTTATTATGGAAAAGTGGCCTTTTAGCGCTAAGGCATCGCCAGTAGGTGTCAAAGTCTGCAGCCTTCTGGGACACATGACAGGTCCCAGAAGACTGTGGGACAATTCACAAAGTGCAGCGCGGCTTGCGCATGGCACAGTAGAAAACTGGCTGTGAAGCCAAAAAGGCTTCACATCCCGTTTCCCTTACCCAAGATGCTGGCGCCTGCACCAAAGGCCAACTGAAGAATCGGCTCGGGTGAGGACATCGCTGGATGCCTGGACAGGTAAGTGTACTTATATAAAAAGTCAACAGCTACAGCATTTGTAGCTGCTAACTTAATTTTTTGGAGGGGGAGACTGGAGCTCCTCTTTAAGAACACTGTTTTTCAAAAAGCCAGAGTATGGCCAGTCTGAAGCCATACATATGAAAAATAAATATATAAATCATAATGAGCATACTATTATACAATACAACACAAAACCCATCTACTTACAGGATATAAAAAGTCTATACACCCCTGTTAAAATGTCAGGATTCTGTGATGTAAAAAAAAAATGAGACAAAGATAAATCATTTAAGAACTTTTTCCACCTTTAATGTAACCTATAAATTGTACAACTCAGTTGAACAAAAAACTGAAATCTTTTAGGTGGAGGGAAGTAAAAATAAAAAACTAAAAATAATAGGGTTGCATAAGTTTGCACACCCTGAAAACTAATACTTTGTTGAAGCACTTTTTGATTTTATTACGGCGCTCAATCTTTTTGGGTATGTGTATCAGCATGGCACGTCTTGACCTGGCAATATTTGCCCACTCTTCCTTGCCAAAACCACTCCAAATCTGATTCCTAGGGCATCTCCTGTGCACAGCCCTCTTCAGATCTCCCCACAGATTTTCGATCAGATTCAGGTCTGGGCTCTGGCTGGGCTATTCCAAAACTGTAATCTTCTTCTGGTGAAACCATTCCTTCATTGATTTCGATATATATGCTTCGGGTCATTGCCCTGTTGAAAGCTGACGTTCCTCTTCATGTTGAGATTTCTAGCAGAAGCCTGAAGGTTTTGTGCCAATATTGACTGGTATTTGGAACTGTTCATAATTCCCACTACCTTGACTAAGCCTCAGTTCCAGCTGAAGAAAATCAGCCCCAAAGAATGATGCTGCCACCACCATGCTTCAATGTGGGTATGGTGTTCTTTTGGTGATGTGCAGTGTTGTTTTTGCTCCATATTTTTTGGAATTATGGCCAAAAAGTTCAACCTTGGTTTCATCAGACCATAACACATTTTCCCGCATGCTTTTGGGAGGCTTCAGATGTGTTTTTGCAAAATTTATCCGGGCTTGGATGTTTTTCTTTGTAAGCAAAGGCTTCTGTCTTGCCACTCTACCCCATAGCCCAGACATATGAAGAATACGGGAGATTGTTGTCACATGTACCACACAGCCAGTACTTGCCAGATATTCTTGCAGCTCCTTTAATGTTGCTGTAGACCTCTTGGCAGCCTCCCAGACAGTTTTCTTGTCTTTTCATCAATTTTGGAGGGACATCCAGTTCTTCGTAATGTCACTGTTGCGCCATATTTTCTCCACTTGTTGACTGTCTTCACTGTGTTCCGTGGAATATCTAAAGCCTTGTAAATTCTTTTGTACCCTTCTCTTGACTGATACCTTTTAACAATGAGATCCCTCTGATGCTTGGAAGCTCTCTGTGGACCATGGCTTTTGCTGTAGGATGCGACTAAGAAAATGTCAGGAAAGACCTACTAGAACAGCTGAACCTTATTTGGGGTTAATCACAGGCACTTTAAATGATGGCAGGTGCGTACAGACTCCTATTTAACATGATTTTGAATGTGATTGCTTAATTCTGAACACAGCTACCTCCCCAGTTGCAAAAGGGTGTGCACACTTATGCAACCGCATTATTTTAGTTTTTTATGTTTACTTCCCCTTCCTAAAAGTTTTCAGTTTGTTTTTCAATTGAGCTGTACAGTTTATAGGTCACATTAAAGGTGGAAAACGTTCTTAAATGATTTATCTTTGTCTCATTTTTTTTACATCACAGAAACCTGACATTTTAACAGGGGTGTGTAGACTTTTTATATCCACTGTAAGTTTAAAGGCATAAAAAAAGAAGAGCAACGTGGCACAACATCATACAAATACTTACTTGATCGCATGGTACATATCTTCGAGCATATCCTGATCAAAATCTTTTCCACCGTTGACTCCCTTCAAATTTTTTCTGAACTCCTGAGGAATAGATAAAGTGTTAGCAAACGAAAGAGCTTGCAATTCTGTGGAAATTCTCAACAAAAAAAGCGTCCAGCCCTACAGGGTGGGGGATTCCGGTTAAAAAAAAAAAAAAAAAAAAAAAAAAAAAGGGAAAGACTTGCTTACAGTTTTCCAAGGTTAAGCCCTTGTATGACTTTAAGGGGTGGAGTGGAGATCAGAAGCCTCCAAGAGTTTACTGAGTGACTGTGGCCTTCTTGTACCCTGAAGCTAATGGGATCCCTAAACCCTGGTGAAAGACTGGTATACGCTGGTGAGCTGTCACACAGTTTTCAATATACCAGAACTATGGACTGTATGTGTTTACTTTGTTGAAGAAAGTGGTTTGTTTTACTGGTTTTGAAAGAATAATAAACACGGTTTACTTTTAAAGTGGCTGACTGGTGATCCTGGGCTACCCATATTACAAAAGCTTAATCAATTTTCAGGCCTTGGAGACAGTTGGAGAAGTTAGTGACAGTGTCTCTTTAAATCTCCAAACCTGTAACAAAGCTCAAAGATCTAGAATACCTTGAGCACTATAAAAGAAGCAACTTTCAGTACAAATGCAGTATATAGTATATAGTATATGCCTTATGCCTGTTCTGTCTATACAACCTTGCTTGACATAGATGCTATGTGGTACAACCATTTAATCAAATATCTGCTTTGATTAAGTAAACATGCTTTTCTAAAGCTGGCCACACACGGGTCAGTTTTTTTCCCCCATTCAGCCAGCAGGTTGAGCAAAAAAATGAACCGATTCCCCCATCTTCTAATATAAAGGAGACTTCATTGCTGTCAGAATACACAGATCAGCGCTGTGGTCATAGGCTACAACAGCTGATCGAGTGGCTTTTATCCGACATTCCGGTTGAACAGGAGTTGATTGGTAGATTTGAGTTCTGTACGACTTCAGTGGCCAGCTTTTGGCAAATCCATTGCCACCTTAAGTCCCCTACCAAGCAAGGAGGAGAGTAAAAATCCTCCATTACCAAACTGTACAATCACACTTAAATGACTAGCAGCAAGCAGTAGTATTTTGAACAGAACACTTCTAATTTTTCATTTTCAGTCGTGTGGTTGTGATTAACCACTTGCCGACCGCGCATAGCCAAATGACGGCTTCACCGCGGCCGGCCAGTTCTGAGTGGACGTCATATGACGTCCTCCCAGAACGCGCTCTCCCTGCGCGCCCCAGGGGGCGCGCACCCGGCGATCTCCGTGATCGCTGTGTCCTACGGACACAGCTGATCACGAGATGTGGTGAAAGGCCGATCCCACCGGCCTTTTACCACGTGATCAGCGGTGTCCAATGACACGCTGATCACAGGAAAATGCAAGTGCCGGTTCTCGGCTGCACTTTCCTCACGCTGTCAGATCGTGAGGAAAAGTACTGCCGAGAACCGGCAGTTGTCAGAGCGGGGATCGGCACCGATCATCAGGGCACTGATGATCAGTGCCCTGATGATCGGTGCCCAGCAGTGACCCCCGCAAGTTCCGATCAGCTGTGCGCCCACTAGCCCCGCCCACCCCATTCCCAGCAGTGCCCCCACCTGTGCCCAGCAGTGCCCCCACCTGTGCCACTCTGCAGTGCCACCTACCTGTGCCCAGCAGTGCCACCTACATGTGCCCAGCAGTGCCACCCACCTGTGCCCACCCACCTGTGCCCACCAGCGCCACCCACCTGTGCCCACCAGTGCCACCCACCTGTGCCCACCCACCAGTGCTGTCCACCAGTGCCACCCACCAGTGCTGCCAGTCAGTGCCACCAGTCAGTGCCCAGGGGTTGTGCCAGTCAGTGCCGCCAGTCAGTGCCCAGAAGTGATGCCAGTCAGTGCCGTCTATCAGTACCCATCATCAGTGTCACCTATCAGTGCCGCCTATCAGTGCTGCATATCAGTGCCGCCTATCCGTGACCCCTAATTAGTGCTGTCTATCAGTGCCGCCTATCCGTGCCACCTCATTAGTACTGCCTATCAGTGCCCTTTAGTGCTGCCTATCAGTGCCCATCAGTGCCGCCTATCAGTGCCCATCAGTGCCGCCTCATCAACGCAAATCAGTGAAGGAGAAAAAATACCTGTTTGAAAAATTTTATAAAAGAAATAAACTTTTTTTTTTTTTTCAAATTTTTTGCACTTTTTTTTAATTTATAGCGCAAAAAGTAAAGCGCCCAGTGGCGATTAAATACCACCAAAAGAAAGCTCTATTTGTGAGAAAAAAATGATCAAAATTTCATATGGGTACAATGTTGCATGACCGCGCAATTGTCAATCAAAGTGCGGCAGCGCTGAAAGCTGAAAATTGGCCTGGTAAGGAAGGGGGTATAAGTGCCTGGTAGGCAAGTGGTTAATTAGGAAAACATTTTTTCTTTTCTGTTCAAAGAGGTTTGGAAAAAACTTGAATCACAGAATCTCTGCACTAATCTTACCTCCAGAGTCATTGGAATATTCTGCTTGCGAACATTGTGATTGTGTTGGTCAGTGTTCAGCATGATGACAGCATAGGCCAAAGCAAAGCAGCCATCGCTATTTGCAAAAGGAGTCCCATTTGATTTCTGAGAGAAATGAACATTTTTAAATGTTTATTAAATATGTTTAAACTGTAAAATAAACAAAAAGTACAGTAGAGATCTTCACAATTGGGGTTTGTAAGAATGTAATAAAAAAAAACTGATTGAGGCATCACCATAGACACTAATTTACAAACTGCTACAGTACCTGAAGTACTTTACTACTTCATAGCATACATGGATACTAAAAATATTACTATTAAATTAAAACTAAGGTGCTGTTACTTACCCTCCAATGTTCTGTAAAAGCCTCTAAAAGCCTATGAATCACAGGTGCTTCCCCTGGTAAGCGAAATGCTTCAAGGTAAAGCCTTAAAGCTTCATCAACTCTCAGACCTTGGAATTGAAATGTCCTAACAAAAAAAAAACAAAAAAAAACAAAAAACAAAAAACAACCCATTTCATTCATCTAAATGTGACATTGACATTAAACCTTTAAACTGATATAATGTAGCTCCACTCCTTATCCAACTGGACATTTACATTAAGCTAATGGGAAATCTTCACTTATCCCTAGAAATGCTTTAGGCTGCACATTATGTTGAGACTATTCTGAAGTACAACGAAGACATTAAAAATGACATGCACCAAAAAAAAAAAAAGCGAGAACTGAAAAATGTTACAGTATTTCAAGTTTAAACTTTTCACTGAGGGGCACTGCCACCTAATCTGCACATTGACAAGTTTTTTACTTTACTGTACACCTTACAGACTTGAACATTAATAAAACAAGCCAAATCTGTTTCAGAGTGCATGACAAAGAAATAATATAAACCTCAAAATCAGAGTAACTGCAAGACTAGTTTCAAAGCACTTAAGATTTAATGGCCAAAAAAACAGTACCAGGAAGACAGAAAGAATGCATTTAAAAAGTTTTAAAAGGAAGTTAGGATGTAAAGCATACATCAATACAGATATTGATGTAACCGCTTCCCGACCACCCTATAGCAGCAGTACTGCTACAGGGCGGCAGCAATGCACAAAATCACGTATATATGTGATTTTGTTTTTTACGGGTAGGTGGCGCGCGCTCCCTACCCGCGCCGCTATTGGCTCTTCAGCATGTCAATCACCAGGTCTCGGCTGCCGATTCTCGGCCGGGACTCGGTAATCGTTGGCGGAGCTGACAGGGGAGAGGTCTGTATGTAAACAACACAGATCTCTCCCCTGTCAGCAAGAACATGCTGGTTTGTATTGCTCTGCACAGCAGAGTAATACAGAGCAGCTTGTCTCCCTAGTAAATTACACACAGCACACTGTTAACCCTTTGATTGCCCCAGATGTTAACCCCTTCCTGCTCAGTGTCATTAGTACAGTGTCAGTGCTTTTTATTAGCACTGATCACTGTATTAGTGTCACTGGGGATGTCAGTGGCAATTAGTCGTAACCCCCCCCCCAGCGTCAGAATGCTATAAGGCAATAAGTCGCTGATTGCCGTCATTACTAGCAAAAAATAAATAAAAATTACAGTATACAGGTGAAACTCAAAAAATTTGAATATTGTGCAAAAGTTCATTTATTTCAGTAATGCAACTTAAAAGGTGAAACGAATATATGAGATAGACTCATTACATGCAAAGCAGGATAGTTCAAGCCGTGATTTGTCATAATTGTGATGATTATGGCGTACAGCTCATGAAAACCCCAAATCCACAATCTCAGAAAATTAGTAGTATTGTGAAAAGGTGCAATATTCTAGGCTCAAAGTGTCCCACTCTAATCAGCTAATTAAGCCATAACACCTGCAAAGGGTTCCTGAGCCTTTAAATGGTCTCTCAGGCTGGTTCAGTAGGAATCACAATCATGGGAAAGACTGCTGACCTGACAGTTGTGCAGAAAACCATCATTGACACTCTCCATAAGGAGGGAAAGCCTCAAAAGGTAATTGCAAAAGAAGCTGGATGTTCCCAAAGTGCTGTATCAAAGCACATTAATAGAAAGTTATGTGGAAGGCAAAAGTGTGGAAGAAAAAGGTGCACAAGCAGCAGGGATGACCGCAACCTAGAGAGGATTGTCAGGAAAAGGCCATTCAAAAGTGTTGGGGACTTTCACAAGGAGTGGACTGAGGCTGAAGTCAGTGCATCAAGAGCCACCACACACAGACAGATCCTGGACATGGGCTTCAAATGTCGTATTCCTCTTGTCAAGCCGCTCCTGAACAACAAACAACATCAGAAGCGTCTTACCTGGGCTAAAGAAAAACAGACCTGGTCTGTTGCTCAGTGGTCCAAAGTCCTCTTTTCTGATGAGAGCAACTTTTGCATCTCATTTGGAAACCAAGGACCCAGAGTATGGAGGAAGAATGGAGAGGCACACACTGCAAGATGCTTGAAGCCCAGTGTGAAGTTTCCACAGTTTGTGCTGATTTGGGGAGCCATGTCATCTGCTGGTGTTGGTCCACTGTGCTTCATTAAGTCCAGGGTCAACGCAGCCGTCTACCAGGAGATTTTGAGGCACTTCATGCTTCCTTCCGCAGACGAGCTTTATGGGGATGCTGACTTCATTTTCCAGCAGGACTTGGCACCTGCACACACTGCCAAAAGCACCAAAACCTGATTCAATGACCGTGGGATTACTGTGCTTGATTGTCCAGCAAACTCGTCTGACCTGAACCCCATAGAGAATCTATGGGGCATTGCCAAGAGAAAGATGAGAGACACAAAACCGAACAATGCAGAAGAGCTGAAGGCCGCTATTGAAGCATCCTGGTCTTCAATAACACCTTAGCAGTGCCACAGGCTGATAGCTTCCATGCCACGCCGCATTGAGGCAGTAACTGCTGCAAAAGGGGCCCAAACCAAGTACTGAGTACATATGCATGCTTATACTTTTCAGAGGTCCGATATTGTTCTATGTACAATCCTTGTTTTATTGATTGCATGCAATATTCTAATTTTCTGAGATTGTGGATTTAGGGTTTTCATGAGCTGTAAGCCATAATCATCACAATTATGACAAATCACGGCTTGAACTATCTTGCTTTGCATGTAATGAGTCTATCTCATATATTAGTTTCACCTTTTAAGTTGCATTACTGAAATAAATGAACTTTGGCACAATATTCTAATTTTTCGAGTTTCACCTGTATATACCGCCATTTTTAGACGCTATAATTTTCACACAAACCAATTAATTTACACGTATTGGGATTTTTTTTTTTTAGCAAAGACATGTAGCAGAATACATTTTGGCCTAAATTTAAGAAATTTTATAAAAATGTTTTTACTGAATGTTTTAAGTCAAAAATATTGTTTTTTTTTTTCAAAATTGTTGGTCTTTTTTTGTTTATAGCGTAAAAAAATTTAACTGCACAAGTGATCAAATAGCACAGAAAGAAAGCTCTATTTGGTCAGCTAGAATGGTGCCTCTAATACGAAATGCATTCTTAAATCAATGGGCTGCTTAAATTGCATACAGATTTTCTATGGTATTGTACAGCTTTTCTAAACACAAAAGCATGTGAATGCCTGATAGCTACTGCATCAAAATGAGAATTTTTTTTTTATCAAACTTTAAAAATTCAACCCAAGGATCGTAACCAGCGATACACCAGTGATTTGCAAATGCCATGAATCTTACAGTTAAAGTGTATGTAAAGGCAGAACCTTTTATTCAGCTTTAGCAGGAGGAGGAAGGGTAAGAACCTCTTTTTTCATTATTTCTGCCTGTGTCCAGCTAGTGAAATCCATGCTCACTATTGTTTTTGTCTCCAGTACAGAAAAAGATGGAAAACATTTTCACAGGAACAGTGGGGAAATCTTCCAAATCGGAAAACCAATTCTGCTGAAAACTTTCTAAAAGGGGCAGGGTATCACTTGTATACCAACTGGGCACAAATAATACTATAATAAAATAATAGAGGAGGCCTTGACCAATTCCTACTTTGTTACAAACTATTTGTTTTTTTAATATACCTTTGTACATGACTTATACACCATTGTGTAGGTTACCGAATATAGAAAATAGGATTAATAGTAGAGTTTTCCCTTGCATTTCTTAAGGTTGGTAAACAACCCTGTAGATTTCTTGGACTCACCCTACAAAGCTCTCAAGCAAATCAAGGTTTTTGCGATCGCTCACAAATTCCCCAATCATTTTTTTGTCCAGTCTGGGGTTCTCTCTGAGCCATTGAGCTACTTCATTGTTATCCATTGGTGTAGCCAAGAGAGACTTTTCCTGAAGAAACTGTATCCCTTTCTTTGACTTTTGATTAAACTGCTCTGTTCCAGTGATGAGGAGCTGAGAATAACAGAGAATAATTACAATTCTAAATTGCATCATGTGAAAAATTATGTATTTACAAAAATTTTGTATTTGTATACACACATGCTTGATGTTAATACACATTTAGGATTTGTATACCTTTTTCTTGTTTTTTATATCATTTAGTTCTTGCACAGCTGGAAGTAGAGAAGAAAACCGTACTGGTGCCTTCAGAGTCTTCTTCTCAACTAGAAAATCAATGTGGAAGCCATTTAAAAATGTTGTATTTTATGGAATATATCTAGTGACTCAAAGCTATGCATGTTAAGAATAAATCTGAACACAGGATATTCAAAAATGTAGATATAGTCTCCAACAAACATAGAAAAGTGATGGCAGAAAAAGACCAAGTGGTCCAACGAGTCTGCCAGTTTTTTCTTTTGGGGGAGGGGTGTGTACTTTTTTGGGGTCTTTTTAGTTTTTTTTTTTTTTTTTTTTTTTTTAATTTTTTGTCTCATTATAGATCTATGCTTGTCCCAAGTATTTTTGAAGCCATTTACTGTTGACTGGCTCGCTACCTCCACTGGAAATTTATACCAAGCATCAACTACTCTTTCAGTAAAATAATACTTTCTGAGATTAGTTTTGAACTTTTCTCCAGTTAGTTTAAAGGATAAGTTCAGCTTTTGGACAAAAATAATAAATGCAAATTTTCTGGCAGGTAAAAAATATGCATTTATTATTTTTGTCCAAAGCAGCATAAAAAGTATTGCACCAGTGACCAGTAGATTGCTGATGCCATGCAGGTCTCCTACAGACCTGTCAGAATATCTGCTTGACGTATGGGATTTTTTTTTTTACAATGGCAGCTTTTGCTTGAACTATGGTTTGTGTTTAAACAACTTGTTGCATTGTTCATAGTTGGGTAGTTGCCAATGTTGTCAGATATGTGGCTGATAACTTGTAGTGCTGCATTTACATTCAATACAGTCATCATCAGGGGGTACATAGAACAGGGTCAGAGCTACTTAAAGCATTAACACAAATATATTGCAACTTACCAATTCTTAAAGAAGTTTGGAGTTTGTGAAAAAAAACAAAAACAAAAAACAAACATTCATACTAACTTCCATGCTGCAGTATTCTGATACTGCAGGTGTCCCACATCGACTCTTACCACCAGAACAGAGGGATCCCATGATCACGGAGCAATCAGTTTTCAGTCAGATCTGAGTGGAGAGCAGTGACAGTCACTAGCTCTCTGCTCTGCCCCCCCCCCCCCTCCAGCACTCACTAGAGCACAGGGCTACGGTGGCGGTGGAAGCGTTTGGGTTCAGCTCTTAGCCATATGCTGAGAGGCAGAGCCAGCTGTCTATCATGGTGTTGTGTAGATCCCAAACATATTATTGGGATCCTTCGAGAGCCTGGAGCTGCTCTACCTTGTCAGCTAACAGCAGGCTTTAGCCTGCTATCAGCTGCTTCTGGGTCACACACACTGCACACTCTCACATATATACACACTGTGCACACTACACACTCCCCCCATCTATCAGAGAGGAGGTACAACACAGCCACCCATCCTGGACCTGTACAGGGGGAGGATGCTGTAAAAGCCATAAATTACATATAATTGCCCGCCTCGGGACCGGTAGGGTAAGTATAAGTAATTTATAGTTTTAATTTTATTCTGCCACTTTATGCTCTGAACAGATTTAAGATCTTTTATATTTGTCATTGAAAATAAAACTTTGTTGGTTAAAAAACAAAAAACAAAAACTGGCTCCTAACTTTTTTAGCTGGTTCCTAGATTCAAAGCAAACTTGTCAAGCCCTGAAGTAATGTATGTGTTCCATTTCCTAGATTGTAAGCTCGTAAGAGTAGGGCCCTCTTACCCCTCGTACGTTGTTTGTTGTTGTTGTACTGTGCCACGTATTGTCCCCCCTATTGTACAGCGCTGAGCAAACCCTTTGGCGCTATATAAACTCGTAGTAATAATAATAATAACAATTTTGAATCAGTCATTTTTTAAAAATGTTACTATTTACCCTTCAGATAAGAATATTGTCATGTACATGACAAAAAAAGTTTTTCTAGAGAATGTATTTAAAAAAGTTTAAAAATGTTAAGATAGCTAACCTCCACTACAGGCACCTTCTGCCTCCTGAATTCCAAGATTCATTTTGTCTGCCATTAAATGCCCACTGGTTGGAGGATGACCCCCCTTGGATTCGATACTTGTGACTGCTGTGGTGCTTTCAACAGCTTGTTCACTACCTGAAATAAAAACATTGATATGTTGAACTAAAATTAAGAAGGTATAATTAAAAACTGGAAAGACGACTCACAAAATATAGAAAATAAACATTAAGGCAAATGCAAAACTTACCATTAACAGACTCTGGAGATCTCTCTGAATTATCTGCAGTGGTTTTGACCATCTCTTTCTTATCCTGTTGCAAAGTGTTACTCAGAATCTTAGCCTGACAATGTGCTTCTGTGCTGTCAATGACAGTCAGCAAAGCCTCTAGTGAAAGTAGGTGAGTGGTATATAGCTGGCCAGATACTGGAAAGGCATTCTGGAAAAAAACACATTTAGTATGTGAAAACAAAATAGGACCACGATATTAACCTATTTTCCAGAGGTCAATTATCCATAAATTTAAATGCATAGTATGTAAAAAAACATTTGATCAACCACAGGAAAGGCTTACAGTGGTTGTAAAACGTTACATATACCCAGTGAAGTGCCCGGCCTCAGGTGATAAACAGAGATGAAACAACTACATAAGCTTAACCTGTTTATCTGCAGTCATCTCTACATTCAAAGTTCAGAATTTATAAAGCTTGTCTGAGAAACAAAACAAAGGGGGCGGAGAGCTGAAACTACACTGCGGAACTCAGTGAGGAGATTTCTTAGAGCTGATTGGAGGGAAGAGATACACCCTCCTCCACACAGTTCACAGGAACAGAGCTGATGCTGTCAATCTGCTGGAGGTCCCTACCATGTCACCATTTTTCTCTCAGTTTCAGGAAAACTTATCCAAAGTGATTCATACCGACAGCAGAGGAACAAAGCAGCAGACAGAAATGAGTTAGTGATCTGGATTGAGACAAGTACACACTATAGAAGGATATGCTTTGTTCACATTTCATGTCTGAGGTTTACAACCACTTTATGTCTAGCATAAACTACCCAAACCTTTACTCCAGGGCAAGAAAACATGGAGAAGATAACATGTTCACAGAAAAGACCTACCAGGTAACAGTCAGAGGCTTAAGTAGAACATCCTAACCCTTGATTTTAGGAATGAGATGACCATGATAAGACTGCTACCTGATAGATGTCCAAATTCTTAGCCTTCATTTAGATGGGTGCAGACATCCACAGTCCATGAATAAGCACTTTGTTTTTGCAGCTTCCAACTGCCAGGTGCTGCATACAGCTTATTCACATCTATCAAAACATCCATGCAGGTGCGTGGCCCTGTACACACTGTCTGCATTCGGAACCATGCACCCACTCGGCTGTCAAACTGTAACAAGTAGCTGTGTTCGTGCAGCTGCTGCTTCCCAATGGACATAAATGGGCTGTCTGCACTCACCACATGGCAGCTGAAGCCACAAAAACAAGACAGACTACGGGTGTCGGCGCCCTTCTGATGACTAATGAGTCATTCATGGATGTAAGAGTCCTGATAACATAAATTTGAAACGAAGCAAAGAAAAGGTAAACACTTCGGCTAGAAAAAAATTGAAAGTTACCACCTCTGAATCCTTCTTTAGCAGAGTGAGAGTAATCAACACCTGTATAAAAAGATAGGCAGTTATGACATAGAAGAACATCAGGGCCAGAAAGATAAGAAGTTCTTCCAATCAACACCCATAGGTGTTTCAGGGGTGTGGTAGCGACACCGTAACCTGCCTAACCAGAATGAAATATATGATTCTAAGAATCATACAACCTACCCCTGTAAAAATCTTCCACCCAAAAACAAGAGAATAGGTTAGAATAGGTAGGAATTCAAAGCCTCTCTCAGAAAACAGCAGCTCAATTATAGAAGAGGATCTATATTCCAGAATTCAGGTCTCATGAAGGCCACAGGACAAACCCTATTCCACTGATGGGATTCTCCAGCAGGGTAACTGTGTGTCCTGCTTGCTGGCCCTTTAGGGGGAATACAGGACCTTCCAGTGATTGTTACAACTGAAGGGACAGGAAGGAAGTGCCTGATTCAAGAATGTAGATTAGAAACTACAAGGGGAAGCCTAAGCATCCAACGAGTCAGAAGGTAAAAAACCAAGGGACAACACAGGGTGAACAAGCAAGTCCCCACTTGTTCTGGCTTGAGACCTAAGGCATGATTGGGAAGCAGATTCTGATCACCTATGAGCAACGACTGAAGTAGTGGATGAAAGCTGGCATTTTTCCACTTCATTTATAGATCCTTTGCATTGTGTCAGGCATACAGTTCAACCACCAGTAGCAACAGGAATGACAATGTCAAGGGCAGGTCCACAGAGAGGCTTTCCCTTGAAGGGAAAGTGAATCAGATGTTCCTTGTGCACATCATTGATGTCCTAGGCACACAGTGAAAGTATCCTACACTTCTAAAACAGGGACATCATCCCTATTTGAGACACAAGCTTGGCTGCTTGTAAGATGCCATCACAGCTAAATTGCAGTGGTCCAGACATTTGTTCCAAAAGCTTCGGGACACAAGGGTTTGTATAGTGAAAGAGGGGTCTGCGTTTACGGATTCAATCCTTAGTGACATGGTTTCACAAATCAAAGTCACTGCCAACAATGGGACGGTCACTCCAGTTACTTCCAACAGATAGCCAAATAGGTAGTCCATATGTCTGTCATGGAAATCCCTAAAGGTAATAACACCATCAACCTATATAGTGGTATTCTTGTAAAGGTGCAACACTGCAGGGGCCACTTTGCAATAAAATCCCTTTCAAAAGGGAAAAGCTTATTTATATTGTCAGGAAGGGCCTGTAATTCTATACATAGCTTCCAGTCCCAATATGGGAATAACTTAAATATCAAGTGTATTGGGAAGATCTCCACAGCTGTAAAAGCTCTAGAAATACCCTAGGCTTGAAACAGCAGGCTAATCCTAACACAGGGTTGAATGTACTGCATCGAATACATTAGAAATAGCTCTGAGACCTATGGAATTTTCTCAAATACAGTTCAAGAATAGAGTGAGTATTATGAATCTTAATCAGCGGCATCAATAGGGGCCTCAGGCACCAATAAGGTCAGAACAGGACTCTGCCATGGATGGTGCCAGAATGTGTTAGAGCTTCTGGGAGCAGATCACTCCATTGATTGTACACAAGTTTGACGTTTGAAATGGATATATTCGGCTTTGTGGACACATGGAGGTCTCAACACCAACCAGCTTGACAAGGTGAACCCTATAATAGAGGTTCCAGGATACAAGTGTCGGTTCCATCTGGGGATATTGGGAATTGCCCCTATAGAGCAGAATATAAGCAATGTAGTTCTGTGAGACGTACCTTCTACAAACTTTATGTATGTGAAACAAGCAATACTCTTAAACAAGCAACAGGTGTCTTCACCCCAATACACATACACCCCATATTAATACACCCCATATTAATTGAGCATAACTTATTTTAGATATAAATGATCCAGCATTAAAAAGGCTATACCTACCTTAGAGAGCAGCTTGGTCAAATCCTCAAAGAGATTAGAACAGTAAAAATCACAGTCATAGTTTATGTATAGCTCGGTTACAAAGCTAGGTATCCTCCAGAGTTGCACAATGGCTTCCAGAGCTATCTCCTTCATTTCATATGGCATCTTTGGATTCTCCACAGTTATGATGTCCATCAGCTTTTTTATGTACATCTAAGAAAACAGTTTGTAAAACTAGTTACACTTCTCCCCCTTCCTTACTCAAATGCATAATGATGACATTGTGGCAACAAATCACAGATTGCTACCCATGGCATGTAAAAGACACTTTTGTACTCAAAATAAATTTTGTTGACTCGTGAGAAGTATGCATTTTAATAATAAGCCAACTTTTAAAAGGTCTTACCTCCAACTGAAATTTTAGATGTTCTCTCATGCTTTCAAACAGAAGGAAGCATGCTCGCAAGGAAGCTGCATACAAGTTCAATCGCTCTGCATTTAACAGCTAAAGAAAGAATTTCAAATATTTAATGAAGGAAAAAATACTGAACATTTGCCAAAAAATACTAAATTATATGAAAACAATTATTGCATCTACATTCAATTAAAAGAAATGGTTTATGCTTTATAAAAATCCCCTATGCCGCCACTCCAAAAACAAAAATAGCAGGATTTGTGGGGCTTTATACATTCCATTAGGGGGTATAGTTAAGTGATGAAAGTTTTCTACAGTTTCATTCCCTAAAGCGCAATTGGAACTCCTGCTTTGTGTATCAGCTTCCTTTTCTGGACAGAGGAGATGGTCTGTAATAAATGACGCTAACAATAATTTGGAAACTGCTATTAGACTTCGATTTGCAAATACCTGCATTCAGAAAGGACCTGCAGAGTCAATACTGATTTTACGTAACACACTTCATGGGGGGAGAATGGCTGTGGGAGTCTATGTATTGATAATAGCAAGCCAAAGCAGGCATGTATTTATTGTATTGCCAGCAGTTCTCTAAACTGTCAGCAGTCTGTTAAAGTCAAGAGTATATTTTTTCATTGCAAGAGTAGATTTATTCTTTTTTCTACTATGCGTCTTACTAAAATGTAGATGTACTGCCTATGGACTTCAAGTTAATAAATAATATAAAAAGCCTTTCTAAGCGTATATGGCACTTTTATATATGGTATACATTGAAAGACACTGTTGCTGATCATCTTCTAGTGATTGTAAGAAACACTAGCTACTACCTGAAATAAATGTCGACAGAGCTCATCCTTCACAAGCCCCAGAAGTGAGGCATAATTTGCTATGGGAGCAGATTCCAATGCCACCGTAATCAGCTGTAATCCCATGTGCATCATCACTTCAGAGTTATGGCGATCATGGGGGTTGGTTAGTGAAATGAGAAAGCGAAAAAGTTCACGAATACAGGGTAATCCATAAGGAACCAAAACCACTCCTAGAAAAACAAAAGGTAATTTGTAAGCAAACGCAACATACACAGCAATTTATCTCTGATTTTACATTGTACCACCAGCCCACAAACGATAATCAGAGGGGAAAACAGAAGGTAGTGGGATGTGGTGGGACGCAGTAGGTGCTGTGGTTTACATTCAGTCAATTGGACAACTTTCATCAGGAAAGCCTTAGTGCAATTAAGTACTCATTACAAATCAGAAACGGAAAGCTTGCTCCTAGCTCTGTAGTATGTAAAAATAAAAGTTGCATTATACCTTACTGGCAGGATGTAAGTGCTTCAAATGAAGATCTTATGGACTTTTCCCTTGTCCATGATCCAGCAGTCTGTTTGCTACACCTTAGGCCCCTTTCCAGACAAAAATAATCGACATTCTCTAGTGAGACGTCTTTTTAAATGCAGCGAGGGACTGTATATCGACACATTGGAAATCCCCTTCTCTCCCACACTGTGCATCATTGGAATAGAACAGTAAATAATATAATGCACATGGAGGAACTTACAGCTTTGTTGAGGAGACCGGAAGTTCGCTTTAAAAAAACTTGAATACAGTGGGCCCACTTTACAGTGACAGATCTCAGACTTTTCTAACAAATTTGTAGATGTAGTGGAAGAAATTACAGCGGTACACAACATATTAAAGGGTTTTCTCCTTTTTTTCCTATTAATTTATTTTTCCTCTTTTTTTTTTTCCTTCTCCCTCCCATCCCTTATTTTTCTTAGCGTCCACCCACCCCAGCAATATACATTATATCCTATATTACAGAATACAATGGAATATGGTAGTTAATCTGTAAAGGATTCTAAAGTACTGAACTGAGCCAACTCTTGTTTGACACTTTTATCTTATTTTTTTTATATGTAATAATGATGCATTCATTTGACAATCATATTGTATAAATTAGAAATTTATTGAATATTTGGATAAGTGGACATTTTTGTGTAATAAGGATTGTGATTGTTTGTATTTTATAAAATTTATTGCTTTAAATAAATATTAAAAAAAGCTTGCAAAACATTATGGTTAGTGTTAATAAATACTAAATGTAGCACAGTAAGGCATTCTTAAACAGAAAGTAATCACATTTCATCACATATCCCATTCCAACACATATGTCAAACAATAGGAGGATTATTCCTTAATTAAGGACAGTGAGCAGAGCCATGCCAAATCATTCGTTTACACCCCAATAGCCAAATGCAAATTGTGAATCACTGGTGTAGAGTGCAAATATTGCCAATTATAGAGCAATGCATTCCAAACTGCATACAGCTGTTTCAGGATTTGTGGCCATCACACCCGGTCTACAAGACCTATTGAGGACCTCTCACCTTCTTTCTGTGAAGACTGTGTAAACCTAACTCCACGAGGGTTGACATAATCCATATCATGTACAGAGGCAGAGTCTGAATGTTCAGCCAGTGAAGAGCTATCTTCTAGAACTTCAGGTATGGATTCAACAGAGGCAGATTGCGTCTTCCTTCCTAGTAATTCTTCAGTCTTTACAGAATATGAAGAAACTTGGTTACAACGGTATGCATCAGATTGGAATGCCATGACATTATTAAAAATAAACATTAATTTAAAATATTGAAGCGGAACTAAATCCTCCTATCTTTTAGTCAAGGAAGTTGCCATTAAGAAACTGATCAGCAGTTGCCATGGTGCTGCACATGTGATCAGTTATGACACCAACCAGTTCAGTTGACAGTACAAGCAACTGTAGCAGTTACTCATAGCATTCCCTGAAAAAGTTCTGTAAAGGATATTTTATACATAGTTCCAGCTTGAAACAATGTAACTACGTAAATACCATACCTGGCCAATGCCCCTGGAAGCTGGAAATCACTAAAGACGACGCTGCTACTCCAGTGATCTCCACTTGCTTCCGAGTCTTGTGCTGAGTGGTTGGCCTGCAGCATTCTGAACACAGATGATCAGCTACACAAGCACCTTACAGAGAATGCTACACAGTTTCTGAAAAAATGCAAGGCGTTCTCTGACTGGACAATGTGGAGAAGTGGTGCGCTGTCACAAACTGAGGTTTCTGTCCATCACTATCTTCTCAGATTCCAAAGATTCCCTGTCCATATTGCACAATATGTTTTGACTCCTGGTACATACATAAATTTTGCTTTGAAGTACAGTTAGGTCCATATATATTTGGACACAGGCACAATTTTTTTTTTTTTTAGGCATTTACCAAAACATATTCAAGCTATAGTTATATAATGGATACAGGCTGAAAGTGCACACTCTCAGGTTTAATTTGAGGGCATGTTTAATTTAGGAATTATAGTTTCTCCCTTTTTCAAGGGACCAAAAGTAATTGGACAATTGAATCAAAAGCTGTTTCATGGCCAGGTGTGGGCTACTCCTTCGTTATTTCTTCATCAATTAAGCAGGTAAAAGGTCTGTAGTTGATTCTAAGTGTGGTATTTGCATTTGGAATCTATTGCTGTGAACCTACATCATGCGTTCATAGTAGTTGGCCATGCAAGTGAAACAGGCCATTGTAAGACTTCAAAAACAAACAAATCCATCAGAGAGATAGCAGCAACATTAGGAGTGGCCAAATCAACAGTTTGGTACATTCTGAGGAAAGAAGAAAGCACTGTGGAGCTCAGCAACATAAAAGGCATGGACATCCACGGAAGACAACAGTGGTGGATGATCACAGGATCCTCTCTATGGTACAGAAAAAAAAATTCACAACATCCAGACAAGTGAAGGACACTCTCCAGGAGGTGGGCGTATCATTGTCAAAGTCTACAATCAAGAGAAGACTTCACAAGAGCAAATACAGAGGGTTCACCACAAGGTGCAAATCATTCAAAGGCCTGAAGAATAGAAAAGGCAGTTTAGACTTTGCAAAAAAAACATCTAAAAAAAAGCCAGACCAGTTCTGGAAAAGCATTCTTTGGATGGATGAAACTAAGATTAATCTGTACCAGAATGACGGAAAGAAAAAAAGTGTGGAGAAGGATTAAAACAGCTCATGATCCAAAGCACACAACGTCATCTGTAAAACATGGTGTCATGGCAATCATTGCCAGTAAAGAATTCTCAACAAAATATTAAAAATGAACATTTTATTTATGATTATATTCATTTGTCCAATTACATTTGAGCCCCTAAAAATAGAGGGACTTCATATAAAAATGGTTGCAGTTCCTACAATTTGCACTTGATATTTATGTTCAACCCCTTGAATTAAAGCTGAAAGTCTGCACCTCAAATTCATTTGGATTGTTTCATTTTAATTCAGTCTGGTCAGAGTCAAGAGAATGAAAATTGTAGCTGTGTCCAAATATATATGGGCCTAACTGTATATTGGAAATCTGCAGACTGTGCATAAAGTCCCTGAAAACTGGGACATTCACCGAACAGGACTCTTCAAAGGAACAAAGTCAGGGGCATTCTATGCTCACCTGATGAGACTTGTGCTGCTGCAGACAAGCTGCCTATCAAAGCAGGCCTAAATAGCAGCTTGACACACCCAAGAGCCAGCCCACTGAATGTGCTCCTGGGAAATGAAAGGCTGCAGTGTTCTACTGGCTTTCTGCTGGATCCTCCCACACAACCAGGGCTTCAGAAGAACACAAACTGCAGGAAGCTTGTGATTACATAATCAGGGCTGCAAAAAGGTCAGTTCTGACACAGGGCCGAGGTTTTTGCTGTAATAATTTCACTGGTTCAGGATCAGGAAGGAAAGCGGCTTTGAGGGAATGTGTTTATTTAGGACATCTTTAAAACCTGAGCTTTTGGGGGTAAGGGGTGTGAGTTAATTGCCTGTTTTAAGAGATGCTCACATTAAGTGAACAGTTAAATAGGGTGCTTAGCATAAGAGACATCACATCGGTACATCGCTCCTGACAACTTCTAGTGGCAAAACATGCTGGATGGAGCCTAAACTGGGTGACAACATTCCCTAGAAGCCGCTCAAGTGAACTGAATAGAAAGTGAAGTGTTCCTCTCTAGTTTGGGTGATTCATTTCCAGTACTGGGAATATGCACTATGATATACGAGTGCAATCTTTTATATGCCTTTAAATGTATGGAATACTGTAATACCTATGTTGCCCTATGAACCTCTTGCATCCTTCTCTTTCTTATGATGGTTGATGGAAAGTGCCAAGTAAAGATTGTGACTGCTCTGGGGAGTCCTGGCATACCAACTGATTACAACATAATGTGCTGTTTGACCATCTTATTCAATTATACGTTCAAAATAAAAAGCAGAGTGGACCACTGATTGAGGGTGTTCGAGAAAGAATCAAGCAAACTGCACAGGTGAGTGTCTTTCATATTCCATTTTGGAGTGGATTTAATTCTGTGCTTCAATCATATGGAGTGTGTCATTTTTTCTCACTGTGGAGTAGATAGTCGTGCACCTAGGAGTGTGGAGGACTTTTTGGACACTTTTTTTATGTACTTTTTTTTTATCTTTAAAGAACTTTGACTTTTTTTTTTGAACTATTATAATGGATTTGTGATACAGAATGTTTCACAGAAGGAAATGTGTATTTATTACTTTTGGAGGTTTTATGTACTTGACTGCAGCATTTTGTTTTGCAATTGCACTTCATAGGTAATATTAGCTATATTTATTACATATATTTTAATTTATTTAACAGTGTGGTAGAAATATATTTAGCACTGTTTTTGTGTTTATTTGAATATCTGCACTAGTACATCTGAACAGCTGCTGTGTAGGAGGGTGATAAATGCAGTTTGTTTAAGCCCAGAATTTTTGGAGTACAGTTTCTCTCTTGGGGGAGGGGGAATTTTTTTCTGCTGCTATAGATCTGTTTTATTTTTTAAGCACTAGAATTATTAACAGACAAACATTTCAGTAAATAATGTCAAAATGCATAAATAATAGATCTGGAGGGCACATTTACATAACAAAGAAGAACGAGGATCTAGCAACATTAGAGAAATACCTCAAAGAGGGCATCACCCCCAGAGGTGGGATGTGCACCCCAATAATGGTATTAATGATACATAGATCACAGAAGAGTGGTTTTAATTTTTATCCATTGTGAAAGAAAACTTCTTGATTTATTGATGGAGAGGAGAAAGAGAAATTATCCAGATTAGAAAGTAAATTACAGGAGATATGGAAAAGTTGACCCATATAAAGAATTATCTGATTACAAGGATTAATCTAAGAAGCTACAGGATGTTCTCATAAAATAGGATACAGAAATTAGAAATTAAAAATGAATAAATATGAGAAATAGTTTGGATTGTCAAAAAACATGGGTTTACAAATGGCAAGGAGATTTTGTGGAATCTATGCCTTCATCCCTGAAATGGGTTTGTGAGACTGATTAGGAATATCATCAAGTACAGTCATAGATGGGAAATGAAGAAAGATTTGACCCAGGAAGGAAAACAATAGAGGTGGGTAAGATGAGGGGAGGAAAAAATTGTTAAAAAGTACCCCATATAAGGAATATACCCTTAAAAAAAATGTTTTGCCCCATTTCAGAATTATAGTAATGATCCTTCCCCAAGAAGAAAGTTTGGGGGCAATAGGAACCTCAATCCAGTGAAAAAATGGGTACCCTCCTAATACCCATACTTTTTTGCTGACCGGTTGATACAGGGTACTGACAGGAGCTTACTAACATTTCAGGGCTCACTATAATCTCCTAGTTTGCATCTAGATTTCTATTATGAAACTGAACAGTTATTTGCATGAACTTCCTATAGAAAAATGTTTCACTAACAAAGCACAACAAATACTGTATATGATCCTCCAACTGGGAATGGGATTTTGCAGTGTGCCCCTGTGCATTTGTTGTGGACCCAATTTTTTAAAATGATTCCAACCAAATCAGGCAACTTAACTGCAATACAAAATCCACCATCACTATCTAATGCATGAAATAAAATATTTCATGACAATGTCTCAGATTAAAAAAAAAAAAACATAAAACAAATAAATTAAACCAATACCTTTAGGTCATCAGGGTTTGGTTGTTCGGATAGATCCAAGACTCCAGATGACTGCAGTGTTGTAGCAATGTTTGCATTATCTATTTCAGAAAGATCCTCTTTAGATGTAGCCTGGGAGGATAATCCAAGGGCACTGTCAGCCATGGGGCTGACAGCACATGATGTGGCCTCTGAGCTTCCAGCTGAGACAGGAGAGGGTAGCATCTGGAGAGGACGCTTCAATGAAAGGAATACCAGCTGCAAGAAACATTATAGATCAGTAAAATTTTCTAAAATGCAATCACTTAGCTAATTACAGGGTAATTACAGGCAAGCAGCTAAATGCAAATTATCTTACCTACTGAAAGATGTTCAGTAATGTTAACCCAGTTTAGTTGTCTATACAGCTCTAACACACTGCATAACAAGGATCTGGACTGACCTCTAAAGTCATGAAGCAGTAAGACTTGGTCCACAGCACAAAATTGGCTGACTGGACAATGAAGGAACAACAGAGCAAAGATAATTCCTCCCTGAACTTTGCCCTCCTCCTTTCTGCATATTGCCAGTGGTAAATCAACATCACTGGGCACTGCAACAGAGCCTGACGGCCCTAGTGTTGTCCCTCAATTTCTCAGTGGAAACACCCACTGACTGCAGTAACAGTGAAAGTAAACTATATAAACCCCAAGTACTATTTAAAGTGAATTCTAGCCAAAACATTCTTTTGCCCCCCCCCTCCCATTCGGGTGGAGCAGGTAAGGGTTAGAAAAACGTTGCCATTTTTTTCTTATTTCCGTGTGTTTTCACTAGGGATATTCCTTCCTGTCTAAGTAACAACAGAGAAAGGGAGGGGTAAAGGTCCCAAATAGCAATATTCTTTCATATAGGTGGAAAACCAAAGGGTGGGGCGGAGGGAGAGGGGGAGGAGGATCAGGGCATATAAGGGTCGGGTACAAAAGCGAAGGGTGGGAAGAAAATGAAGAGTGGGAACAGCGCAGCAGAAGTACCAGTCCCCTGAAGCAATAAAAACCAACACAGAAATATCCATCACACAGTAATACCCTTTGCATCTATCCAGTTACTCCAGAGTTTGTCAAATTTAGCTGGTCAGTTCCTACTCGCATAGAGAAGCTTATAAAGAGTGAGCCCGTTAATAGCTTCCTTCCATCCTGAAACCGTGGGCGGTGTGTGGGGGACTTCCACCTGAGTAAAATTTCCCTCCTGGCATAATAGGCAGAATAGAACATAAACAACGTTGTGTGTTTGGTGGTTTCGACCCGATCTGTGAGGCACAAAAGCATGATTGGGTGATCCCTAGGCAGAGTATGGCTACTGACTGCATTTATGACATTCACCACCCTGTTCCAAAAGGGTCCATGTTTGGGGCGCAACAAGAACATATGTTCATAAGAACCCACAGTTAAATCACATTGCTTTTTTTTTTTTTTTATTTAAATTTTTTTGTATTTTTTTCTAATTGTTCTTTTCATTTAACTTTATTGCTATCACAAGTGGGCAAACAAGCAGCCTTGTGATAGCTTTGGCCAGTAAAAAGGGTACTCATACGCATTGTGTAGACATCAGGGACATTAGACCCCTGATGTCTCCACTGCTTTCCTTGCTATAACAGTCTAGAAACGACGTCTCTCAAATCAGAAGCAACAAAACTTTGTTGCTTCTGAGATCATTCGAAGATCGGGGAATGGATGTTCCTCCATCTGCTTTGTGGGCAGCTGTTCCAGGCTCCCGGGAGGAGTGGGAGAGGCCAGGAACCACTGTAGGCAGTGGCAGAGGGGGAATATAGTGGTGCCCTTACCAGCAGTGTAGAAGTGATCAGCTGCCCGGGTCACTTTTACCTGACAGGAAGCTAAAGAAAGGACCAGGATCATGGTGGCATATGCATTTGTGGTGCATTTTTTTACAGGACATGTGACTCAAAACCTGAACCAAAAAACACAACGTGGGTGCATTTTTGCCACATTTTTGATTGTTTGCAATAGGGAGGTGCATTTTTAAAAAACGCACCGTACCCCAATGGATCAGTGTGAATAGTTCCATAGGAATACAAGGTAACACATTTTTCTTGTTTTTTTTTTTTTTTTTTTTTAAACGCAAAAGAAAAGCGGATCAGTGTGAAAGCAGCTTAAGACAAACTTGAACAGCACACACATGCACCACATCCAATGAGGAGAAGCCTCTGTAGGATGTCTAGCAACAAGGCAGAAAGATGGAATGTCATGAAAAAAAAAAATGTTCTGGTAAGGGGAGGGGGTTGGGAAAGAGGCCCTGGGCGTGTATGTCAGGACCCGCACACACATGGATGTCATATTGAGATACAGCTAGGGACGTGACCACAGATAGATTATTTTATCTTATTTTTTAAAGTGATATTAAAAGCATATCTTGAAAAAAAAAAAAAAAAAAACAAAAGAACACGTTATACTTACCTGCTATGCGCAACGGTTTTGCACAGGGCAGCTCCAATCCTCCTCTGTTTGGGTCTCCCACCAGAGCTCCTGGCCCATTCTCTTGTTGAGTGCCCCCCATGGCAAACTCCCAAGCAGGTGCTCTGTGTGTCCATTCACACAAGGTGAGGCTCAGCCCCGCCTCCAACCCTCTCTTCAATGGCTCACTGTGATTAAAAGTAGAAAGAGGCTAGGCTATGGCTCCTGCAGCTGTCTCAGCCAATGAGGAGGAAGAGTCCCTGGAGAGCCACTGCTCTTGTGCACATTGATGGATCAAGATGAGCTCAGGCAAGTGTTAGAGAAGGGGGTGCTGCTGCACACAAAATGTTTTTTTCCTTCATGCATAGAATGCATGAAGGTAAAAAACCTTGTCCTTTTACAACTACTTCAATATTTCCACATATGTATGGCAGAGATATAGGGACTCCAAAAAACACACCATTACTTTTCAAGACCAATAAATTTACATCTCTGCATCATTAAGCTGACTAAGGAGTATGTAAAGTTATGGGTATTCAAGCTTTTAATGAAAAGTTAAATTAAGTGCTAGGATAGGAAATTGTGTTAAAGGTCAATTTCAAAGTGTCCTGTGGGGATCTAACTTTCAGAGATTAGGTTTATAGATACTATTAACTTGTACAACATCATATTAAGAAAAAAATACATATAACATTGATGAATAGAACCCCCCCCCCCCCCCCCCCCACAAAAAAATAAAAACAGAGTTAAAAAAAAGGAGGGTGGAATTAAGCATGGGCAGAGCCACCCATTTTACCCGGATTTGTTGAAGAGCCATTAAGTAAAGGCTGCTGCTGTTGAGATTCAACTCCAATCATTGCTTTGGTCAAATGACGAGGTGGTCGTGGCGATCGCTTCTGTTTCTTCCATTTTGAGGTTTCACTGGTACCTCCAGCTCTCATCTTCAACTGTTAAGAAAACATACCCCACAAATGTCAAAGTAGCAGAGTACAACAATTAGAGAAACTGCCGTTATACCAGGTTTATTAGGACTATATATTTTTTTTTTTTAGGCCCAAGTTAGAATCATGAGTTGCACTGCCACTAATCATTCAGCAGAATACAACACAAGATAACTCAAAGAAGATTGCAGCAAACAAAAACATTTATATTTGTATCAACAAACGGCAGAAACATAAGGTCCATTTCTGAATTCTGAACCATGAATGATTTTTAAAGGAGAAGTTCACCTTTCGCAACATGGTACACATATTCATAACATGAATTGACCGGTCTCTGCACCCCAGCAGACATTGAGTCTTCCTGTCAGTATGTATCTCTTGCCGTATGAAGTGTACGGGCACACAGATACACTGACAGGTCTGCAGGAGACCTGCATGGCACCAGAGATCTGCTGATCGCTGGTGCAATGCTTTACCTGCAAAAAAAAAATGTGCATTTATTATTTTTGGTTAAAAGGCGAACTTATGCTTTAAAATGCATGGATATGAAAATAGTCCTACATGGCTTTGAGAAATGGATATACACTATACTGACTACATTAGCTAGCATTTGTTCTGGGCCTAGAGGGAACTCCATACAGAACTACGAATTTATGTTTAGACAGGAGGTAACCACTGTGTAACTAAAGTAAGTCCGAATGCAAAATACTCCTTGCCATGAGAACGTTCATTAACCTCACAGTAGAGAACTAGTAATAAGCAACTGTATGTGTTCCTAGTTCTCAGACCCACTGCCAATCACAAAAATTGTTATTGACAAGTTAACCAGTGTAAACCAATCATGCTAAACTTCAAAAACCTCTGATCACAAAAAGGGTTTAACAAAAGAAGACAAACTGGACCTCTACTGTGCTATTTTTAAGCAGCAGCTTGATTGACTGAACTCTCTGAAAATAGTGCAGTACCATGCAGTGACAAATATGATAGAACAGAACCCTTTGAAATTCAGAGTAGGAGACTGAAGAAAGAACAATACCATTGGAGATCCATTGTAGCCAAAATATAACCCCCTCAAACCCATCTGGGGATGGGGCTTAATTTCCCCTTGGGCAGAGGCAGAGGCTCCACATATAAAGCCCAGTCTCTGTTACCTTAGCAATATTTTAAGCAAGTTTAGATTCACTTGAAAGTACAAGAGGGAAAAGTGAATGCTACTACTGCTGGGCCTCCTTTGTTGCCTGGCTGTGCTTGGCTTCAATATTTATGAGTGACAGACCTGTAAGACACAAACAATAGTGCCAAAATTCCTTCTCTGTAAACTTGTTTGAAATCACTGGCTAAAAGTACTGAATCCATAGCATTAACATGACTGCCAGGTAACTCCTGTTGAAAGGAAGCCACCAAAGATAAAGATTGCATATTTCTTTTTCTTAAGACAGGTATCCTGTGACAAACCTGGATGAATCAAAATGAGTGTGAATAAACTGAGGTTACCTTTAATGGAAACCTCACTAGGATCCTGTGTCAGACCTATAGCCCTGCAATAAGCAAAGCCTATGCTCCTTGCCTACTTGAGATCTCTGGCTCTGACTCAGAAGGGGGTGTGTTGGACCCCTGTAGAGGAATCGCTGTTCCACAGAGAGTAAGGGTCCCACCTAGCAGCATGCTGGCAGTGGACAGGCTTTTCTACTTAGGTTATAGTTGCTTTAAAAAAAATAAAAATTTGGCTGGTGTAGCAGGGATCAGACAAATATCGATTCCATGTATGGGCTATCTGGTTGTACACAAGTCAATCTATCGAGTTTTTCCTGAATGATCAGTGCTACTGGCTATAGCAGGCAACACTGATCATTGTATTCTGATGACAGGGAAGTCTCCCTGCTGTCAGATTACAATACCACAGTGGAAGTGACTCCCCATCCACCTTGTATGTGTGGATGGGTGAATCGGCTCTTTGACGAGAAAATATCTTTGATGACAAGGAAATATCTTTATGAAACTTTGGATTTTTTTTAACATTGATTTGTAATAAATATATTTTAACAGTACTGTTTTGATCAATGAGTATAAACACAAAATCTTGCTCCTTTCGAATTGTGTCTTAGATAGCTTGTGTTACAAGAAGGTAGTAATATACCTCAACAATTCTAGTGAAGAGATCTGTAGTTGCCATTGGCCCCTCACTATAATCTAACTAGTCAAAAGGGACATTTTAAATGCCGTGCGTAAAATATGAGGCAGATCCCTTACCCAAAGTAATTCAATCAGTATACTAATTTTTATAAAGTTCCATTACCTTGTTACGCAGGACTTTTGACAGGTCTTTTCTGATCCCCATGGCTCAGTATCTAGCCTAGTCAGTGCTCCCACGTAAGAGCTAACAAACTCATTGACTATTTATACACTGACACTAATTGCAATCTAAAAAAGCCACAGATGTGGGACATTAACCTCTAATTGGCATTTTAACCCATGTGTGTCACCTTGTGTGTTTGTACCAAGGCCATGCATTCCAGTGTATGTAAACTTTTGATCATGGCCATTTGGGTGATTTCTGTTATTATGATTTAAAAAAAAAAAGAGACAAACAACTATTTGATAATAAATGGCTTCATTTGATCATCATCCTTCAATAAAAGAGCATTTTTTGGCATGATCAGTTATATTTTCAATATCAATGCCAAAATTTCACAATTTCTGCCAGGGTATGCAAACTTTTGAGCACAACTGTATGTGTTTAATAATTACTTTGTTAGCAGTCTGCACTTAGAGGCGCCTCTATACCCTTCTGTCTTGTATGTTACCTGGAGACTGCTTCAACCTCTCCCTGAGGCTTGCCCTGAGCTACAGACTTCTATATAGCTATATTTTGAGAACATTTACAGTATATCTTATATGGGTGGGGTTAGTAAATGTGACAATAATATTTCTGGTATAGATATGTATTGGGTGGTTCATCGGTTTTTTTTTTTGTTTTGTTTTTTTTAAATTTGTGTTTTTCTAAAAATCACATTAATTGTGCAAAAGCATGCCAAATGCAAACTTATCTAATGCAGCGTTTGCACTGCAAGACACTAGTTTAGAAGTTGTGTTAAGCAAGTTTAGTTTTCTTGTTTATCTTGCTCATCCTAATACAGGTTGACTTTTACTGATCAAACACCTGTAAAAGCAGGAAAAGGAGCCAGAGTAAGGCTTGCCCCATACAATTTCAGTCTATAACAGACATAATCATAAGTAGGAGTATCCCATATCCAAAAATACACGCACATGTAGAATTAATGGTTTTTTCAAAAAAAGGTTTCCATCATTGAAAGACCTGTTATTTTGGGTTTTTTTTATGTTAATTAGTTTGGACAACTGTACTAGTTTTTTTTCTAAACTAAACCTCAGTATTCAGGATTAATTGCCGTGTTGGCACTTTGAAATAAATAGGTTGGTTTTGTGTTGCAGTTTTGGCATTCAGGCTCAAAAAGGTTCGCAATCACTGTTCTAAGGCTTGCAGCATGGCATCTCCCTGCACATGGTACTGATGCTCTGGCTAATGTAACCACATTGTTTATGATAACCACACATGATAATGCAATCATTCTGGAATTACTTGTTCAATAGCCCAGGAGTTTTTTTTTTTTTTTTTTTTTTTTAAACTGTCATGTGCCAACACTAGAGATTTCCATCACAGGGGGTCTTCACTTGGACTTCTGCCCAATGTCCACCTTTGGGCTCCATGCACTCTAGCATTTTTTTATTAAAATGTTTCTGCCCCTAGAAGCTAAATAGTGTTATCCTATGTGTCCATGCACACTACCAGGGGCGAACTGAAAACTAATGGGGCCCCAGGCAATAGGGGATCATGGGGCCCGTGTCCTTGCCCAAACTCAAAAAAGCCTATGAAAAAGGTACCAGGGGCATCTCATGGGGCCCCCTACTGACCCCGGGCCCTCGTGCAGTGCCCCGAGTTTCCAAATGGTCAGTCCACCCCTGCACACTACTTTAGTCTATTAGCATTTTTTGAGCTTCAGCGTCTAGAAGCAGTAGGCTCCATGCACACTAGCTTTTTTTAAGCTCAAAAAACGCTTGATAAAAACCGCTAGTAATAGTAGCTTTAGTAGTGTTTTAATAGCGTTTAGAAGTCTTAGCATTTTATTAGCAATTTTACAGTACGTGTAGAGGGGGGGGGGGGGGGGGGGGAAGCTAGAAAAGCTGTTAGGAGTGTTTTAGTAGCATTTAAGTCGTGTTTTAGTAGTGCTTAGCAACATTTAGCATTTTTTTTCTACTGGAAAAATGCTCCAAACACCTCTACAAAACAATTTTTTTTCTGCTCCTAGACGCTGAAGTGCAAAAAATGCTTATAGCTTAAAGTAGTGTGCATGAACAGATAGGATAACACTATTTAGCTTCTAGGGGCAGAAAGAAAAATGCGAATAGCTTCTAGGAGCTTAAAAAAAAAAATGCTAGTGTGCATGGAGCATACAAAAAAAAAAAAAAACTGTTTTTGTAGAGTTTTTTGGAGCATTTTTCCAGCAGAAAAAAAAACCCCTAAACGCTACTAAAAACGCTCCTAACAGCTTTTTTTTCTAGGTTTTTTTCTTCCCCCTCTACTTGTATTGTAAAAACACTAATAAAATGCTAATGCTCCTGAACACCTCTGAATGCTACTAAAAATATGCTATTGCCAGCTTTTTTTACCCAGTGTTTTTTGAGCTTAAAGAAAAAAAATGCTAGTGTGGATTGAGATATATAGATATATATATATAAAACTCTGTTTCACCAGTGATTCTTCTTTTTACAACTGAACAAGATTTATTTGTGGTACAAGTCCAAGCTGCCCGCACAGTGGCAGCTTCAGTTTAATCAACCTTCTCTTTCTAATAGGTGGTAGCAGTGAAGCAGTAGGGCCAGCACAGGTATTTTAACTGTGGACCAGAAGTGGAAACTTCCTGTAATCCTTCTTTAACATACTAAGCTCTGCCATCTAACACTGCTAGTGCACACTTTGAGAAACACGAGGGTT